GGCCCGGCTGGTCTCGAACTCCTGACCTCAGGTGATCTGGCATGGCTAGTTTTTATGTAATTACGAAACACAGCACTATTTGGTTTTCTGTACTACCAAACTCTATCAAGAATAGTTAATATATATAGGTAAAAAAAAAAAATAATTAAGAAATAATGGTTAATATACATTGGGATATTAAAAGGGAAAGACATTATTAGCTAAACCCCAAAATGTCTGAGAGGCAAGTTACTTATTGCTGCAAGTTTTCTTTTACAGCAAGAATCATCACAACCTTAATGACCACCAATGATTTTACAAGTAAGCAAAATATATTCTCACTTCCTTTTTGAATTTTGTGCTATTTGTGCCTCCTTCATTTGTAAACTGTCTTAGAGCTTAATGGATGGACTTGGCTCTGTTGGATTACAGATTTAGAAAATGGCAACAATGTATTCCTACTCTTATTGGTAACCATTTTTATTATTAAGCCTCTCCTTCTTATAGTACAGGGGATAGAATATGCACAAGATAATAGATTCCTATCTCCATGGAACTTCCACTTAAGCAGTGGAATTGGACATGAGGTAATCACACAATTCCCTATTGAATTCTAATGGGACATGGTTTGGAAGAGTAGGGCAGGATGAGCATCTAAGGAGAACCTGGCCTAGTTTGCAGGAGCTGGGCAGATTAATTTGAAGAAGAGCGATCGTAAGGAAGAATAGAGGTTTAGCCAGAGGAAAGGGTGCTGGGGGAGGCCAGACTCCTAACAAGGAGCAGCATGTGAAGATCATGAGTGAAGGACAAAGGGCTAGAGTGCGGAGAGCAGGGGGACAGTGACAAGCGGGTGAGTTTCAGGAGAGGAAGGGCGCGAGGCTGGCAGTGGCCCAAGTATCCAGGGCCTACAAGAACTGCCCACAAACAGTAGGAAGCCTCTGGAGGCTTTGAAGCAGGGAAGTGGTGTCACCAATGGACTATGTTCTTGTTCTGTTTCTTTAAAAGAAAAAGCTGTCATGGAAGAGGAAGTACTTTGGTTAACCACAAAATAATTTAGTAATTCCTTAGGCTGTTTTCAACTCCCAAATCAAGCATATATTATACATCTTTGGAAAATGATTAGAACAGATGGGTGTCACCTGTGACGATCAGACAATGTCCCCAGCATGGAGCCCTTTTAAATGAGCTAATTATTATTTGAGAAATAGTGCTTCAGAACAGAGATATGTTTGTTAGTCTCTTCCTGGAGGTTATACCTTTGCTCGAATACTTTTTGTCAGTTCTGATGGTAGGACTAAAATTGTTCTGGTCAAAGCATAAACTTTGATCAAGTGGGAAACGGGAAGGAAGACAGGCTTGGGGCTTTCCACAGGACTTGAATTCTCAGCATGGAAAGGAGAGTCAAACCACAAGTAAACAACAAAACCTATACATTAGAAATTAAGTTTAAAAGATCAAGATCTATGACAGCTATTCTTGAAAGTGATCAGTGTATCTGGGAATAACTTTTTTTGTTTTGTTTTGTTTTGAGATGGATTCTCTGTCACCCAGGCTGGAGTGCAGTGGTGTGATCTTGGCTCACCGCAACCTCTGCCTCCCACGTTCAAGCAGTTCTCCTGCCAGAGTAGCTGGGATTACAGGCATGTGCTACTATGCCTGGCTAATTTTTGTATTTCTAGTAGAGACGGGGTTTCACCATGTTGGCCAGGCTGGTCTCGAACTCCTGACCTCAGGTGATCCACCCACCTCCGTCTCCCAAAGTGCTGGGTTTACAGGCGTGCGCACCGCGCCCAGACTGGGAATAACTTTTTAAAAACAGTGTAGCTAAAATCTTACATGTGTTTTACAAACACAAAGGTATCTTAAATCTCATTAAACCTATTTATCAGGAGTTTTATCTGTACCTTACAATAGAAGTGAAGTCACTGTTAAAGTTATGTGTATGTATTTTTATTTTTCCATAGAGAGACACATTTTCATGCTTACCTGAATATAAAACATGCCTTGTTATGTGGGCCAGTTTTTCAGGATGATCTTAACAGAATATGTTAAACCACCCTTGCTTAACATGGAATGTTCTGACACAGCAGCACCCTCAGGACTTCAGATGAATAAAGGGATTATAAAGGGATTTTTAAAAGTTATAACCCTTAGGCCAGGTGTGGTGGCTCATGCCTGTAATCCCAACACTTTGGGAGGCCAAGGTGGGCAGATCACTTGAGGTCAGGAGTTTGAGACCAACCTGGCCAACATGGTGAGACCCCGTCTCTACTAAAAATACAAAAAATAGCCAGACGTGGTGGCGGGCGCTTGTCATCCCAGCTTCCTGAGGACTGAGGCTGGAGAATCACTTGAACCCAGAAGGTGGAGGCTGCAGTGAGCCGAGACAGGCCACTGAACCCCAGCCTGGGTGACAGAGCAAGACTGTCTCCAAAAAAAAAAGAAAAAAAAAGTTATAACCCTTCTTAGCCAGAGCCACATTACTATCAATTGAGCACTTAAGATGATAAATTACGGCCGGGCGCGGTGCCTCAAAAGCCTGTAATCCCAGCACTTTGGGAGGCCGAGACGGGCGGATCACAAGGTCAGGAGATCGAGACCATCCTGGCTAACCCGGTGAAACCCCGTCTCTACTAAAAAATACAAAAAACTAGTCGGGCGAGGTGGCGGGCGCCTGTAGTCCCAGCTACTCGGGAGGCTGAGGCAGGAGAATGGCGTAAACCCGAAAGGCGGAGCTTGCAGTGAGCTGAGATCCGGCCACTGCACTCCAGTTTGGGAGACAAAGCAAGACTCCGTCTCAAAAAAAAAAAAAAAAAAAAAGATGATAAATTACTATTTATGAATTCGGGCCAAGGGGCCGAAAGTAGTCATTATGATAGGAAGATCATTTCCCCAGAAATACCTGGAACCAAAATTGTTCATTTTGGGGGTTGGGGGTGAAGCTTTATTTAGGCTTACACTTTGAGCAGGAGGTGGTTTTGCTCTATATTGTGAACACGGTTTTTAATACACTTTTTTTTTTTTTTTTTTCCAGTTCTTACACGTTTTGTGATCATGCTGGCTTTAAATATATGGGTAACAGTGACAGTCCTTCGCTACCGGAAGACAGCTATAAAGGCGGAATGATGGATACATTATTCCTTCACACAGTGGATTTTGAGTAACTGAACCAAAGGAAAAAGCAGCTCTTTGCTAAATTAATAAATTTAGTAAATTTCATAAATTTTATACATTTAGTAAATCAGTTTATAATCTTTGAAGCCAAAAGCTTCTTTAGACTTAAAGAGCCACTTAAATATTTGTTTAAAAATACCAATTTCCCTCCTTCGTTAGGTTACGGTAGCGCTCGGACATCTGCAGTGCAGAGAAGGCCCGTGACTGTTGGAAGTCATCCACGAAGCCCATTTTGAGGCCATTTTGACCCTTACTCTTAAGTTCTATATGAAGAACTACATCGGTTTGTTGGCTTTCAGAATCTTTTAGGAAATAAATCCTCTCCATGACAAAAATGAACATGAACGGAGTGGCATTTTGTTCCAAGTCAGAGGTGGACACCTACAATAAATGACTAGGGTTCACTTTCTGGGACTGATGTTTAATTGTAACATAGATACAACAGGGTGGCCTTGTTTTATATAATACAGTATTACACCTGCACGTGCTCTAGCAAGGATACCAAGGCAAGCACACATGTAACTGGCTTGAGTTTGTATCAAAATAGTCCTTCAACTTCGCACTGTGCCTTAAGTAATTCCTAACAAAAGGTACTAGGATTAGCTGCAATCTCTTCTTTCGATGAGGAAAGCCCAGTAAGCTTTCTGCTTCAAGGACAATGCTGCCATTGTTTAAAGGGCCACAACTATATAATTACCACTGCTGGAATCTGGTACAAAATACGTTTTGTCTACTGAAAACATACACAGTAAAGGGTGTTAGGTAGGTTCTGTCCAGTTCTTAGGGATTTTTTTTCACATTATAGTATTTTTACCCTAAATATGATGTTAAGATTATTATATACTGTATTTTCTTCTAAATTAACCCTAATGTTTAAAAACTCACTTTCCCCCTTTAATTGAAGGCATTGTTTTGTTATATGCAGTAATGATGTTTACCAGAGATTATTGTTTCCTATGCAAAATAAATTTTCATATTTTGAATTCTGCTGAGTCTTAAAATTGTCAATCATTAATATGACTATTTTATGTAAGGTATAGTTTTTAAATAAACTAGTTAATCCTTTTAGAACTACTGCTTGGGACCAACAGGAAGAGGAACATGGTATCTAAAAACAATTATTCATTCTGTAGTTGTTAAAATTACAGATATCATATTTTTAAACATCCAAGTTAATCTTTTTTCATTTGCTGTTATAATCTGACCATTAGCATCAATACAAATTACATAATTTTTATTCCAACAAATGTTTTATTTAGATAGCATTAGTACTTTATCATTGCTTAAAGCAAGTCCTTTAAAAGCATACTTAACTTAGGTGACGAGGTCTCTGTTTTTCCCCCTTTGTCAGGCAATAAACACTGGAGCCATTTCAGACATTCTACACACATTATCATACTTAATCCGGCAGTGATCCTGTAAAGTAGACACAATCTCCATTTTACAGATGAAAACACTGAGGCTCAGAGTGAATAACCGGCCCAAGATCATATAGCAAATAACTGCCCTAGAAAACACTTTCTCAGCACACTATTTCCTGACAAAACAGACATCCTGCCTCTTTTCCTTATCCTCACTAATTCAAATGAGTTTGTTATATTTGTGTGCATCTTAAAACACCCAAATCAAATCAGAGATAGGCTCCTGGTTGAGATTTCGTATTCCTCCATGAATTAAATCATAGGGCAGAAGAATCACAAGTCTACAGCCTTAGTTATAAGACTTATTTACTATCCTCATCCCACTGTTTATACCCATCTTATAGAGAGAGCAAATGTTTTGGGTTAACTTTAGAAAGTTGCTGTATTCTAGGACTATTTCACAGGAGAAGTATGAAAATGCTTATGTCTCCATTTATTTTATTTTTTTTTATAAAAAGCAGGCATGAAATACAATTACATTACTACAAAGATGCAACAAAACTTCTAAAAAGGGGTGCAATTTTTGTTCAGAGGGGACAGCTGATCAAATATTTATGATTTTCTAAACCATGCAGTTCATTACTTACTACAATTTCAAACAAAACTCATTATTACGGGGATGGGAGTCAGGGAGAGGCCCCCCCAAGCATGATATCCAGCGCTGTCGCACAGTGCTTATGTTCAAAGTGCTTACAAATGGTGTCTTCACAACATAGGGAAGCTGAAGCCTTATTCCAGGGAAGGAGAGGTGAGTCAGTAGCAGTGTCAATGCAGACTGAGAAGCTCGGCAGTGACTTGCTCCAGTCAGATTTTAGACACGATTTAAAACATGTTTCAATAAGGTTAATACAGTGTCCGAGTTTCTCTACTTTACCACCAGAATTCTAGAAGAGAATAACAGCCGCAGCATAACTTCTTAAAACTGTGGTGTAGCAACCTAGAGTATTTCTGTTTAGGATCTATAGATAAATGGATGCAAAATACATACTTTAGAGCCAGATTCATGTAACTCTAACACAGGTTAGTTTTAAAAGCACTAACCTTTATTTTGGCTTTACTGGTATGCTTATCCATTAGTTAGCTAGAACATTTTAAAACTTTCATATAGATTTTTAAAATTTGTTTCTAGAGAACATGGTTTTTTTAAATTAATACTTTAAAAACATTCACTATACATTAATTTAAACAGCAATATCGGCACCAGTTTTCCTTTCACTTCTGTCTCGTTATCCCCACAAAACAAAAGTAAAAAATCCAATAAGAAAATCCCAGTATTCATGATTTCTTAGTTCCCCATAGGAGGTATTTATGGCTCTAGGAGAAATCAGGTGTGAAGGAACAAGCAACTTTTAGTCTTATAAATATTTATCTTGGAAGCTTTAGGGCCTCAAGAAAAAAGAGAAACGAGCACAAAATCAGGTTGTTTCATATTTAATAAGTGTTGGAAAGAAAACACGTTTATAGATGCATGCACTCATGTATGTACGTGAAAGCGGCAATGCGGTAAAAAGCGAATTCTCACCCAAGGCCAGAATTTTTTATTAAGCGCATTTTCATTAGTTGGACAAACAACCTTATAAACCCTTATGTCAAACCATATAATGTGAAGAATCTCCATGGGAGAGATTTTTTTTTCACCCTTCAGAATTATTTTTCTCCTAAGACCTTCATATGAATCTTCCTTATACAGTTGGTCACACCATGATTCCTCATGTTCTCTAATATATACAGCATTCCAAATTTAAACTTTTGCCTTTTTTACTCAAATATTTGTTACTCGTGTAAACTTGAAATTATTTCACCTTAATAAAGTTTATTAAAAATATATATATATATATATACTCTCCAATTCAGAATAGGATAGAACCTCCCATAATGTAACAAAATCTTTATATAAAATATTAATTCAGTCTCCTTTTAACAACTCTAATGAATGGAAATATTTATTCTATATAAATTTTATATATTTTTTATTTTTTAATCTTACTTAAAAAAGAGCTGTCCCCCAAAACCAGAGCTGCAGAACACACCTGCAAGGGAAACGGCATGCACATCTAGTCTGAGCACAGACAGCACAGCAGAGTGCAGACTGGAGAACATAATAACAATATCAGTTTCAGTCTATCAGTAGGCCAGTGGCTACTCTTCAGTTTCCACAATACTATCTATTGTGGGGATCTAACTCTTTAAACATCTCTAACTGATGTCAGAGGGAATCAGTGAAAAATGTCTACTTCCTTCATTGAAATATTAGATGACTTTTTTTTTTTTTGAGACGGAGTCTCGCTCAGCTGCCCAGGCCGGAGTGCAGTGGTGCGGTCTTGGCTCACTGAAACCACCGTCTCCTGGGTTCAAGCGATTCTCCTGTCTCAGCCTCCCGAGTAGCTGGGATTACAAGCAACTGCCATCATGCCCGGCTAGTTTTTGTATGTTGGTAGAGACACAGTTTCACCATGTTGGCCAGGCTGGTCTTGAACTCCTGACCTCAGGTGATCCACCCATCTCAGCCTCCCAAAGTGCTAGGATTACAGGCGTGAGCCACCGCGCCCGGCCAGATGATGTATTTAAATACCATACCAAACTCTGTGTGTATTTATATAAAGAGAGACTGTTAAAAGGCTTCATAATTTAAAAAACCAAAAAACAAAAACTTGATGCTTACTATTGCTGCATACTGTTGCAGTATAAAATATACACTTATCTGGGATCATGAGAATATAACACGAATGGTCCTGCATAAACTGTAACTTTGACAGCATTTAAAAAATAAAAATCAAATTAAGTGCCTTTGAGGCCACTTCTTCCCAGTTACCAGTTTTCTTAACCCAGTACTAAAATATTGCCACACACAGCTGTATGTCTGAGGATCATATTTAAATATTTAAAATGTATCTACAGTCTTAGTTTTCTTTATATTTGGGAAAATTTTTGAATCTTAAGTGTGAAGATGTAATCACAAATGTCTTTACCAGGAATAAAAACATATCTAGGGTAGCCAGCAAATTTAAAGCAAAGAAAATATTTTGTAGTCACAGACTAATACTGAGGTCTGTAAAAAGGGTTGAATGAATAATAGACATCAAGGATATATTAGTTCCAACACCATCCATTATTGTTTCTATAACCAATAATACTTTAAAAACATTTGTTAATCAAAATAGGCTGACATTGATATAACTATTTATGTGTAAAAATAGTGCACGATTTCTCTTCCACAAAGCTAGTTTACATCCTAAGAGCTGGTAAACACTTTTTTTGTTTTTTAATACAGAAAGGGCTGAGACTTTGAAAAAAAATTAAATTAAGGCATTCAAAATGGGTAAAGTTGCCTATCATGAAGCATTAGGAAACTGATATAATTAACTTTAAACTTCTTGTTACAGTAACTGCTTAAACATGAACATGCAACTTCCATCAGGTACACAGGAATGAGTGATATAAACTCCAACATTATGGCTTTATACAAGTGCATAGTTGCAACTGCAGTAAGTAATGATATCTGATTAATGTGTATAAAAAAATAAAGTGGGAAGTTTAAAAAACCTTGCGGTATTAGAGTACTATATATATATATATATATATATATATATATATATATGTTGTGTGTTTATATATATATACACAGTATAATGGTCACTTCTTAAAGATGCAGTCAATATCACTGTAGTGGAATCCATTCCCAGATTCTTCTGGTAAATGTGCTGGTGAAACCTCTCTGTTGAAGCTAGAAAAGACGTTTTCTTTAGACTTTAACTCTTCTCAATCCTTGTGTGCACTGTAGTGTGAGTGACTGCCGAGAGCGCTTTATGGAAAAGTCTGGAAGAGTTGCATATATCCTTAGTCTATCAACCAATCATTGTTGGTTCAACCTGTTGCTTCAAAGGAGCCCAGATTTGTAATTTATATTACAGGGAAAAGGGGAACACATATATGTATGAGTGTATGTATCAGTCTCTCAGGAAAATATAGCTTTTTAATAAATTTTGGGCCATCATATTTCAGTCTTGTTCTCACTGGAAGAATACGATCACCTTGAATAATGACTGCTTTCATAGAAGGCAGTTAGCTGAAAAGAAAGAAAAAATAAAGTTAGTTGATACAGTGAAATAATTTCAGAGATTATTAAATTCCTAGAAAAAGCATTCCATTCACATTATTAAACTATACAGTCTTCCAACTACTATGTTTTTTAACACTAAAATCATGCATAAACATACTTACTGTATTACTTTTCCTGCAGGTACATGCAATTATATTCTTTCCCAAAACAACTTGGGATTTTGGAATTTTAGCTACACACATTACACACAAGTTTTAATATGGTTAACAAGCTATTAGGGTTAAACAATATGCCACAGAGTAACTCAGAAGATAAAGTTTGATTTGGGGTTGAACTGCCAGCTGCCTCATGTAGCTGACAGGGAAATGGGCCTATTGATCAGGTTCTACTTGGCTGTTCAACCCTAAGCCACACATTTTTTTTTATCTATAAGATAGGGCCAAATACATTGTTGTAGTAAATATATACAAGCTACTCTATGAAACCTGATTATAAATAGATACCAATACTACCTGATTTATGTTTTGCAACATAGACTAAAACAGACATTATTTCTTTTAAATCTTTCTACGTAAAAGGTTTAAGTTGAGGCTCAACTTTCATTCAAATCTCCTTGAGCCACTATTAACCAAACTATTTTACAAGAAAAAGCACAATTCTCACAGCGTATCACTGACATTCTTCAGCAAGGGTAACATTAAATTCTCACAAAGCAAACATTTCACAGCACCACACACAAAAATGCCAAATCAGAAACAGCTATTTCACAGCACTTATTAGACTTATAAAGATTTTATGCTTTCAATTCTTGCAAGTTGGAAATAAGAGGAGAGAGATGGAGGGAGAAAGGAATCCCATGCTATGTTCACAAACTAATACAGCTGTACAAACTTGAAAACGTTGTAAATTTTACTTCTCTTCTGAATATGGCTTCTTTGGAATGAACAGAATTAACTCCTTTTGTGATTGCTATATCTCATTCCTAAGATAAATTCTAATTGTATTAAAAATTTATAGCCAATGAAGAATCTGAACATAGCATTTCACTTTTACACTTAACATGTAAATTTCAGTTAGCAACTTTTTGAAAACTACTTTTAACTATATACTATTAAAAACAAGTTTCAAAAATAAAAAATAATGAAAGCCCAAGTGCAAACCACATGCGCTACGTTGAAGTACTAAAATAACTGATTTTTCATTTTTTGATTTACCCCATTTATTTCTTCAGAAATCAAAAACATCGTCATCATCATCACCACCACCATCAACATCATCAAATGACCAATCCCAGTCTTTAAATGCCAAATCAAGCAATCTGCAATAGGAGGTTTGTAAATTTATACTCTAACACTCTTTAGAAACTGTACCTTAATGTTATGACTTAGAAATCATACTTTGAATGTGCTGTAAGCATTTTAATTTTCCATTCATGGATAACAACAAGATTAAAATTAAGATGCACGCACACAAGGAAGCCTTGCCCTTTATATATAAATACATATAATCACGTTGGCCAAGTATACCTTCCAGATATCTGAAGACAGCGATCATATTTGGGATAATAACAAACAATCTGCTTTTCCCTCCTCACTCCCATACCCCAGATAAACATGTAACCATCCTGATGCCCAGTTTGATTTGAGAATTATGAAAGCACATTTGTCAATGTTCCCTTCACCAACGTGGTTAGATTGTCAGCTCGGTTTTTCCATTATAGCACCAAAAACCATGGGGTAAAAGGGGAGTAATAGAATAAGAAAGCAGCTTTCTGAATTTCAGTAGGACCCTGCCTGCTCAATGTGTCACCAAGAGCTTTGTCCTGCATATGAAAAACTAGGGACAAGGGAAAAGCCACAAGTATATAAGTAGCATTATCAACTCATCTTGGCTAAATTGAACTTAGAGTTAGGATATATGTGGTCTTTTCTTTCTAATTCAATAACCTAACTGTAATATTCCTATCATCTTTGTTTTTAAAAATAGGAGTAACTGGGCCAGACGCAGTGGCTCATGCCCGTAATCCCAGCACAGGGAGGCCGAGGCGGGCAGATCACCTGAGGCGAGGAGTTCAAGACCAGCCTGGCCAACATGGTGAAACCCTGTCTCTACTAAAAATACAAAAATTAGCTGGGCATGGTGTCAGGTGCCTGTAATCCCAGCTACTCAAGAGGCTAAGGCAGGAGAGTCACTTGAATCCGGGAGGCAGAGGTTGCAGTAAGCCAAGATCGTGCCATTGCGCTCCAGCCTGGGGGACAAGAGCGAGACTTGGTCTCAATAAATAAATAAATAAATATAAAAATAAATAAATAGGAGTAACTTTTTCATTTTTAAAACTGTGATGTTCATGAATCAATTCATGCCAAGGAACTCATCTGGTCCCCAAAGTCTCACCTATAATCACTATTGTCAGTGGTTCTTATTTACACACTTCTAAAGCAAGAAACTTTAGTGTACATGATTTACCTACTGCTCTTTATAAGGCCTCATTCCAAGAGATTTAGATATGACTGAAAAGGGCCCAAATATTTGCATTTTCAAATAAGAAACCTGAGATGATTTCTGATACAGCTGGTTAACTCTGAGAAACACTGACAAAATAGGTTAATGGACGATTACTCTAATTTAAAATAAATACAGCGACTCAAATTACTCTTAAAATGTGCTAAACATAGGACATTTGAGAAAACACACAAACATATATAATTACTTAATGCATATCACAACCTGGCACACACTCATTTTTCTAGACTTACATATAACGTAGCTTATAGCTAGGGTTTCAGCTCTACCGCTTGGGAAATTGTGATCAGCAGGCCCTCCAGGGCATCCACACCTCAACTTTAGCATAGGTTAGGAGAAAGCTGCATTGCATATCCTTTCAAAACCGTTGAAGTGTGTGCCAGTGTCATAATCTCAAATTTAAAAGTCTAATCGCTAGATACGAGTGCAGTGCATGATGAGACTTCCCTTATACCCTCTCCCCTCATCCCTTTGAATCAGTCATCTAATTCTAGTTATTTCAACTGAAGAAATCTTTCCGAATCCAGGTTTATTTTCTCCGTTTTCATTGTCAAGTACTCAGTTCAGGATCTCATTAAGCCTGAATACCAATCCCTTATTGAAAGACTTCTACTTATAAATCAAAACTCCTGAGAGCAGTGTACATGGAGCTTTTCAGCTGGGTTCAGAGTTTCTCTCCAGTGTCACATCATCTTTTACCACACCTTGCCCTTGCCTTCTCCCAACCCCAACCCAACACAAAATTACAAATACATAAGTAATTCTGACAACTTTGTACCTCTGCACATGACATTTTGCCTGGAACTGATTTTCCCTTATTTGTTTGCTTGTAAAATTATCCATCCTCCATTGTTTGAGATCTTTCTTAATGTCCTCAGGAAGAATTCTCCATGCTTCCCTCGTTTCCCCCAGCGCTCTGTTCATGCCTCTATCATAAACAGCATTTTACATAGTACTGTAATTGCCTGTTGCTTGACTGTCTCCACCATTAACTAATCAACAGGGATATAGTTCAGGCCTGTGAAACTTATTGTCAAAGATGCTTTGGAAAGAATGCATTTAATTTGGAGTTCTACCAACAGTCCACAAAAGTACCCATTTCGTTTCTTAACCCTTGCCAGTTTGGTAGGTGAAAAATGGTTTTATGTTATAGTTTTAATTTAATGTTAATTTCTTAATACAGTAGTCCCCCCATATCCTTGTTTTCACTTTCCATGGTTTCAAGTTACCAGTGGTGAACCACAGTCTGAAAACATTAAATAGAAAACCTCAAAACAATTTAGAAGTTTTAAACTGCCCAACATTCTGAACAGCGTGATGAAATCTTGTGCCATCCCACTCTGTCCTGCCTGGGATGTGAGTCATCCCTTTGTCCAGCATATCCATGCCTATTAGTCACTTATTAATGGTCTTCATTATCAGATTTTAAAAAATGGTATGTGTACGGCACAGCACTATTCCTGATTCCAGGCATCCACTGGGGGTCTTGGAATACATATCCCTTGAGATAAAGGGGGACTACCGTAATCAGGCTGATCCCTTTTTTTTTTTTTTTTTTTTTACATGTAACAGCTGTTTCCATAATAATGCCTGCATACACCTCACTAATTCTGTATGGGGATGAGGCAATCTTTTTTCTCAATGATTTATAAGAACTTTTCATATGTGAAGATAGTAACTCATCTTTCTCATATATTTTGTAAAGACATGGTGTTTTTTACATTTACAAGGCTTCAATTTTGGGGTAGTTGATCTTTGGCTTTGTTTTCTTTGCTTTTATTATTGGAAAATTCTTCTCCAATTCAAGATCAGGTATATATTCATGTATGGATTTATTTTTGACACATCAAATTGTATATAACTTCATTATTTTCCCAAGTAGACTGTTAACTTTCTAACATTTAGAAATGGAGAAGAACAAAGATAATAATGACACAATAGCTACTTCCTCCCTTAAGTTTTAACTGTGTTGCCATGTTTTACTTCTTAAAACTCAATAAATGAGCATTTGCTGCATTTTTGCTTTATACTTTTTTGCATGCATTAAATACTGCGTTAAAAAAAAATCTTTAAAAGAAAAATAATTAAAGAGCAATGCCCTCTAGCCAGACTGGTATCTAATTTTTTTTTTTTTTGAGATGGAGTCTCACTCTGTTGCCCAGGCTGGAGTGCAGTGGCGCAATCTCGGCTTACTGCAACCTCCATTGGGTTCAAGCAATTCTCTGCCTCAGCCTCCCGAGTAGCTGGGATTACAGGTGTCTGCCACCACGCCCAGCTAATTTTTGTATTTTTAGTAGAGACGGGGTTTCACCATCTTGGCCAGGCTTGTCTGGAACTCCTGACCTCAGGTGATCCACCCGCCTTGGCCTCCCCAAGTGCTGGGATTACACGCGTAAGCCACCGCACCCGGCCCAGACTGGTATATTTTTATCTTGCATTGAAACAAATTAGGATTCCCCAAATTGTCTTCATCAAAAATTAGCATTTTATTCACAAATTTCCTACTTTTCCAGTATGGCATTTTAATTTTAACTCAAAAGTACCAAAAAAACACATTCCTGTAGAATAGCATTTGTACACATTATTTTTATGAACTGTCAATTAATTACGTTCTACTCTTATCACAATGAGGCAGTGACTACTTCAGTTCCAAGTCAAGGTTCCAGAACAAGATTATCTGGATCTAAAGTCATGGCTCTAACACTTATTAGCTGGGTGACCTTGGGTACACAAGCTTTCTGTGCCTTAGTTTCTTCACCTGTTAAATGGAGATATAGTAATAGCTACCTCACAGGGTGGTTCTGCGGATAAACTAGTATAATAATAGCTAACACTTATCTATTACTTTAATAAACTTCACCACTATAGAAAAAAAAGAAGTGCTGAAAACGGAGTTAAGAGGAGAGGCTGAGCGTGATGGCTCACTCCTGTAATCCCAGCACTTTTGGAGGCTGAGGCAGGCAGATCACCAGGTCAGGTGGCGAACAGGGTGAAACCCCGTCTCTACTAAAAATACAAAAAATTAGCTGGGTGTGGTGGCACGCACCTGTAGTTCCAGCTACTCAGGAGGCTGAGACAGGAGAATTGCTTGAACCCAGGAGGAGGAGGTTGCAGTGAGCCAAGATGGCACCACTGCACTCCACCCTGGGTGACAGAGCAAGACTTTGTCTCAAAAAAAAAAAAAAAAAAAAAAAAAGAAACAGAATCAGAACCAGGACTGTCAAAGCAGCCACAGAAAAGGTGTAATGAGGCCAGGTGCGGTGGCTCATACCTGTAATCCCAGCACTTTGGGAGGCCGAGGCGGGCAGATCACCTGAGGTCAGGAGTTCAAGACCAGCCTGGCCAACATGGGGAAACCCTGTCTCTACTAAAATTACAAAAATTAGCCGGGTGTGATGGTGCATGCCTGTAATCCCAACTACTCAGAAGGCTGAGGCAGGAGAATTGCTTGAACCTGGAAGGTGGAGGGTTGTGGTGAACCGAGATCACACTACTACACTCCAGCCTGGGTGACACACCGAGACGCCATCTCACAAAAAAAAAAAAAGAAGAAAAGATGTAATGGCAGATGACCACAAAGAAAGACACTGAGGAAAAGTTACAGAAAATGGTTAAGTGAACATTTATGGGTTCACTTTATATTTGATGTATCTAACAAAGCCAAACTTTGTTTTAAGAAGGATACCATGTCAAATTAGTTCAACTAAAACTAGATTGACTACTGCTAAGACTAATATTAAACAAAGTCAAACAAAGAGCTAGATATCAGATCACTGCCGAGACACACCAGCAATTCTGCGCCTCCGTTTTCTTGGATGACCCTTTACTAGTTCCACCCATTTGTACATTGAACGGGCTTTAGTCCAGTAGAATGTTAAAAGCCATCCAGTCTGAGGCTTGATTCCTCCCTGGAACCATGCTACTCAATGAGATTCACGATTTGCCTGCTTCTTCTTCTAATACATCTTCCAAGGAAAAGGTCTTTAGCTGTTTAGTACTATTTATGATCTCTCATACTTTCAAATAATGTCTTTAGAAAACAAAATATCCTGAGTTCCTTTGCTTGCTACATTTGTATACTTTCAAATGACATACTGCAACCTCTGTTATTCTCATCTATATACGCTTCAATTTGTATAAGTGACTCTTAAAATGTGACATTTCAGAATGGAATACTGGCCAGGCCTGGTGGCTCATGCCTGTAATCCCAGCACTTTGGGAGGCCGAGGTGGGAGGATTGCTTAAGGCCAGGCGTTTGAGACCAGCCTGGGCAACATAGGGAGACCCCCATCTCTACAAAAAATAAAAATAAAAATAAATTAGCCAGGTGTCATGGTGCATGCATGTGGTCCCAGCTACTCTGGGAGGCTGAGGTGGGAGAATAATCACTTGGTCCTGGGAGGTCAAGGCTGCAGTCAGCCATGATTATGCCATTGCACTCCAGCCTGGGCAACAGAGTGAGACCCTGTCTCAAAAATAATAATAATAATAATAATAATAATAATAATAATAATGCAGGTTGATTGATTCATGTAAGAGATACAGATACAATGCTAGGAGTACATGAAACAATGGAGACTCAAATGCCAAAAACAATGGAAATAATGTTGCAGATGCACAACAAAATCCAAATTATATTATAAATGTGAACATCTTTATGTTTAGAATTTCAAAGAATGTATTAAATTTTTTCACAAAATGTACACTACACATTTTACAGTCAGTTTTGATATTAGTTTTATATACATGCAGATGTGAGAGAAAGAAATTCCTACTACTTACCATTGCTATGACAAAATGTATTAAAAAAAAAAAAATCAATGAAGAATGATTCACAGGGCAAGGCCAGAAGTTAAAAAAAAAAAAAAAAAGTAACAAAAATCAGAAGTAAATGTACTTTCAAACAGACCATAACACTGATTTGGATTGGGAAAGGAAGGTATTTGTAAGTCAGTGTACATAAAAACAGCCTGTTACACAATTGGGAGCATGCCTCATAAACTAATTCGATATATGTTACCATATGTAGTGAAATCATTAATGTGTCAAATAGCACAAAAGGAAAAAATATATCAAAAGGTTATCTGGAGTTGTTATAATTCTAGATCTAGACAAACCCCTTCCGGAGTCTTAATCAAAACTAAGTATAACAATACCTGTTCTATTCCACAGGACTATTTTAAAGAGCATAGGAGATAATACATAAGAAGTTAAATGAGAGGAAAGAATACGTAGAGAAGTACTCTGGAAACTGAAATCACTCTACACTATAAGGTATTAAAATACCATTTAAGCATTAATAGCTCTACAATATTAATAATATAAATTTAATTTTCAGATGTTTTACAGAAGGCACATGAAATGGCCTTCAGTATCTCTGAATTCTGAGTTTCTTTAGCTTTAGTCAATAATCACTAATTTTGTTTAGTTTTATCATACCTCACACAAAATATTAAACATTTTCACTGCTGACACACCAATTCTGCCTTTGTCATTCTAATTATTTCCTTGAGAGATTAGTTTCAAGAAAGTTTCATCTAAGATGTTTGTGGTCAGAATCAGATTTCCGACAATACAGCCAATGCACATCAATATTCATATACTGAAGGTCCTGTGTCAGGGAACCAAAAGGGATACCTGAAATTAGATACCTGATCAAAGTATATGCTTTTTCCTTTAGCTAACCAAATTATTGTGTTCATTTCATGTTCAATGGATAGCAATGTTTATAAATGCTGAAGTAGTTAGTAAGTCAAGAAATGGCTATTGCGAATCAAGATATTTAACTAAAGGACTTTCACGTAGCTATCCGAAAATGGCCCCATCAAAATGTTTTGGTGCATAATGATCAACCCTGACCTTACTCCATTTTCCTAACTCTACCTCAATTCCAAGGAATGGCCACTTTTACCCATTAGCTCATACTTGCATTTTTAAAGCTGGTCTATGTTGCTGTTAAAATCACACTCAAGTTACTGTTTTATAGATTTAAAACTTAAGCTGATTTTAAACCTGCCTCCCAAATCATGTAACATAATAAAAGCTTATAATATGAAACACAGTGTGTGCACTTGACAATGTGAGGTCTGTGTACAATGTTAATTCTATCTTTTAAGTTATTAAATTACTCAAGTGCTCATAAAAGCTGAAAATTATATCATTATACAGTAAGTCCTCACTTGACATCATCGATAGGTTCTTGGAAAGTACGACTTTAAGCTAAATGAAGTATAATAAAACCATTTCCTTCTCATCAAGGTTATAACAAAACAATTTTGAAGGAAACAACTTAATTCTAGGACCTGCCATTGTTTTGCTTAAAGTCGCAGGTTCTAAGAACCTACGGACAATGTTAAGTGAGGATTTACTATACAAATAAACACAACAAAAATCTTTAAAGATTTTTGGTTGAATTTACTGTATGTGTGTGTGATTTAGTAAATAAATTTATATTACTTTCATCTGAATCGATGAATATGACATGCACATTAAAACAGTTCCAAACACTTGGTATTCCACAGTTCACTAAAATACCAAGCAAAGGAAAACTAACTAGGAAAATTTGTAGTTTGAATATAAATAGCAAAATATTTTAATAGATTTTTTTTTTTCTTACTACATTTTAATTTATTACCTAGGTTTGTTTGGGGCAAGCTGTCGACTTGGTCGTCTAATAGACTGGTTTTGCTGTATCTTCATTGAAGTTCTAGGAGATGATCGTGCAAAAGGGTCTGGAGCTGGGGGCTTTTTTGGTATCTTTTTCACCAATCGACTAACCCACTTCTGCTGCTCTTCTGTAGAATTTGCTAGTAATAATAGATTCTTTGCCGTTGAAATATCATAATACACTATAAAGAAAAATTTGAAAAAAAAATTAATGTGCTTAAAATGATCTGAACATAACCAATATCGATGGAGCAAGTAATTTACCATTTACCTTTGCAAGGTGCTATAATCTCCTCCTTTTTGTCCATGTGATCTTTATGACACTTAATATGGCAACGGCGGCACTCTAAAGCAGGAGGAGGCTTAAACATGTGCCACAGGGGCTTCATACAAGCCTCACAGTTGGTTGGGAAATGATAAAGAGTAGGAATAAACTCATGTCCCTTGTGGCAAATATAATTAGATTTTTCTCCAACTGGCTCCACTGGAAATTCTTGTTCCTTCTTACTTTCTCCTTCATTGGCATACAGAATCTATGAATGTCAAAAGAACGATAAATGATTTCCAAACATGCTATTTCTTATGTAGTAACAATTCTGATAGTGTAAGTAAAATAACATTAGCCTAAATTATTCAAAGAGAAGAAAATGTATCTGAAGTACAAACTTAAGCTCTTGATTATGCAAACAATCAAAAGCTTATGTAAGAAAAGTTATAAGACAGTCACTTTGGTTTGCATTTCAAAAGAACTGATCCTCTTCAAATGCTGCCTCCTTATTTTCTTTGTAACACCCATGATTTAGCAGTACTATCAAAATAGGTCAGCAAAAGGCAAATGTGCACTTCATAGGTGTTAGAAAGTTTTTCTGGGAGGGACTGTTCAAAACAATCACTTGAAGAAATGTGGTGATTATACTAATTGGTGTTTTGTAATACTTAACAGAAAACTGGGTAACAGCTATAAGCACAGCTTCATTTTAAAAGTCCTGTATTTTGAGAGTTGAGGGGGAAAAGAAAGAGGAAAGGATGTGTATTATACTCCAAATAAACATGATAAGCATCCAGAAAACAAGGAGCCAACTTCCACACAGTACACCAAGCACAATGACACTTACATAGAAGGAAATCAGTAAGTCATTGTTGGTTTGACTAATTTTAAAATGGAAGTAGTAAAGGGAAGAATGTGGCTTCACTTTAAATTGGAGGTAAAAGGGTTACAAGGTACAAAATTTACCTCCATAACTGACTTTTCTAACTTTCTAGAGAGCTGAGATTACACAACAACAGAAGGGAAAAAAAATTCATGCTTAAAAAAAGTCATAACCAACCTTAAACAAAAATATAGCAAAGACCAGAAACATGATACAAACACACTACAAGCTTTAACAAATAAAATGGAGACAGGAATGAAGACGTTCCCAAACAGAATTAAGCACAAAAGTCACAAAACAACAAACCATCTTTAAATAGGACTGAAACAGAAAGGTAACCTGAAGAGGGCCAAAGAATGAAGAGATTTACTATGTCACGTCATTTGACAACTTCTAAATGTGAAAAAAACAAAACAAAACCAACCAACCAAATATAAACAAAACTATGTTTACCTGGAATATCCTTGGAATTTCTTTAGCATCTGCTCTATATACATCTGTCTGTGTAACTGGTCGGACATGAAATAACTTGCTATAAAAAATTTTGAATAAAGGAATAAAATATCACCCAAGGATCAAATTATATATTAATTATTCTATACTTATGTCAGAAGTTAAACACTGACTACTTTGACCCATGTCAGGAACTCAGAATATTTTGTTCTATTAATTATATAATTAAGATTTTTACAAACTTCTGTCAGAAATTTTCTAATTAGTTTCAAAAAATAATATATCAAAGGCCCATGAAATAAAGATGTTTTAGCTAACCCTGTATCCCAGACTTTCATCTGTATGAAGCAAATCACAGGAAAATGTAACAATAGTACAGCAGGAGCTATATTATGACTAATAAATTGCATTGTTACTCTTATACTTTAAAAGATAAGAAAAGACAGAGTTTCTAAATATTCTAATAAAAACACTTACTCTATATCTAAAACCATGTAAGGATTAGATTGTTCTTTATCTTGTTCACTGTCATAGAAAAGAATCTTCTTACTGCTTACAATCACATACTGTTAAAACAGGGAGAAAAGAAATCAGTAATTCAAGTGTTTATATACCTTATTGATTTTTTTTAAAAATAAATTCTGTATTAGCAATAAAAATCATACTAACTAAAAAGTACTTAATATATCTTTAGGAAAGTCTTCCTTAAAATAACAATACATTTTGTTTATATTAATAGATATTTTAAATAAACAAATTGTGGGGAGAAGTAAAGTAAAATATTTTTTGGACTTAGCTAGCTTTGGGATCCAACATCATTAATAACCTTCTCAAAAATAAACACAATAACATCAATAATCATAGTAAGAGAGGAAAATAAATAAATGAGTCTTTTTTACTAGATTCACAGTTCTTTTCCCACCAAAACAGCAAAAGTATCAAAATCAACAATTTCCTAACAATGAAATCTGTCTTACTATTAACAAGATATGAGGACAAAAAATTTTTTACAAAGATAATTAAAATCATATCATTTCAAATCCTAAAGTATAAACAAGTTCTATGTGACTAAAAGTACCAGTCACGTATATCCTGCAACTACAAAAGCCAAATGACTGGAGTTAAAACAAAAACAAAAGGCTCATATTCCAAAGTATCAATTACCTTTTTAACCCATCCAAATTTCTTAGTGTTGTTTCGTGCAGGCACTGAGAGCCATCCTTCTAATCTTGATTCTACAAATAAGCACAACATATGAGGATAAAGATAACAATTCTCCTTAGATAACAAAGAACTTAATAAAATTTTAATACGAAATTTATAAAACAAATAAAATATATCCTTTAGAATTTATCACTATACATCATCTAGGATACAGTAACAGTACAGGATCAGCAGTAAAAAGTTATGCAATGCAAAACAAAATCCAGGTTATATCATATTGGAAACAGATAGTCCATAGTTTTATAAAGTCAAACGTTCCACTGATTAAATTCATGCATTTATAATCAGAAAAGCTGCCAAAAAAAACACAAAAATAATAAAAATAAAAAAGCAGCAGCAGCAACTCTCTATTCTCATTGGTACACCTGCCTCAGACTCCTTTATTTTTCCTTTGGAAGAGGGCCACATCGTGCACATTTTCAAGGAGTAAATATAGTTTTTATAATTACGTGTTCAGAGAAAATGAACTTTTAGAATAACTACTATAAAATAAAATAATGTAAATTTTGTTTTATTTATTTTTTTTGAGATGAAGTCTTGCTCTGTCGCCGAGGCTGGAATGTAGTGGCATAATCTCGGCTCACTGCAGCCTCTGCGTCCCGGGTTCCAGTGATTCTCCTGTCTCAGCTTCCCAGGTAGCTAGGATTACAGCCCAGCTACTTCTTGTATTTTTAGTAGAGATGGGGTTTCACCATGTTGGCCAGGTTAGTCTTTAACTCCTGACCTCAGGTGATCTGTCTGCTTTAGCCTCTCAAAGTACTAGGATTACAGGCGTGAGCCATCACAACTGACCAATTATGTACATTTTAGATAAAATTTGGTTAATAAGCAGCAAAATAATCAAAAGATTTTTAAATTCCAAAATATCAAAATCAGTAACATTGTAATTCAACTAAGAAATGTGTATGAATCCTTGGAATTTGTTTTATTACATTTGATCAACGCCTTTTAATGAAATAAATACGTGAAATAGCATTTGGGGAAGTTATTCTAATAGTAAAAGTAGCTATCACTTATTTAACTTCTATTATGTATCAACTGTGCTGGACGCTTTACATAAATTCCCCTAATTTAGATGAGGAAACTGCAGTCTTGAAAGATCACACAGGGCTGCCTCTTTGACTCTGAATAAAGGAACTCTCTGGTTTTTTCATTTAAACTGTAATCTCTTTCAGGGTAATGACCAGGCGAAATTCTTTCATGTTTCTTATGAAGGACATATGCCTAGGATAATGTCAGTAAGTATTCAGTAAAAACCTTAAGTTTATCCTCTGAATCAGTCGAAACACTTTTTCTGTACCATCACTCTTGTTACAAAACGTCAGGAAGAATTTTTTCTTGGTTGAAAATGGCTAAAACAAGCAATGAAACCATGCGCTCTTAAGCAATATAATGTATTACTCCATTTCACGCAAGTTGGCATCTATCAATTACAACAGCAATGTCATGAGAAAATACCTTAAAAACAAATTCTTTATTCATGCAGCAGTTTATTTTTAACTGAGTCTACAACAACATAGTAGAGTTAGTGGTTATTAGTTAATGTTATATAAAAAAAACTTCAAAAGGACTAAAATTAAGGGTAGTGAGGAAAACTCCAAAGATGAAAAGACTTTCAGGATATCACCTGTACCATTAGGTTCCGATGAAATGGGTAAGTAAGGCAAAGATTCTTCTTCTGAGTCAGAATCAGAGTCAAGGAGCATGTGAGAACTGGAAGGCTTAGTGGCAATATTGAGAGAAGTAGAGGAACGTTGGTAGGTGAATGACATGGATTCCATAGTGTGTGACTGAGTGATATGAACTAAACACCCAACATAAAAGGAAGTAAGAATGCAGAAAGAAGAGAAAATGAAATGAAAGCTTAAAAATAGAGCTAATATAATATATAATAATTTAAAAACTAGACATGTGGAGTTTTTCTTTTGTATGTTTATGAAAAACTTTGTAAAAAAAATCAATAAATAAAATAAGCTTGAAATGTTACTTGAATCCTTACTCCAAGGAGTAGGTTTTCCCTTAAAGAAAATACAAACATTTTTACTTCAGAGCAGTCAGTCGCAAGACTTAAAACAATCAACTGATTTATGTTTAAGACAAATAGTAGTGCTGAAAGCAAATCCATACCTGGAAACCCATCATCTGCCTCAGCATCCCCTGGTCCACTGCCTATACTGGAACTATCCAGACCAATATGCAAGGCTTGGAGTTGTGACCGCAGCTGCTCAATGTCACTGTCTTTACTGTCCAATGTCATCTGCAGTTCAATTCGAATCTGGCTCTCTTCAGCTATTTGCTATAAGAAATTTAATTACAATAAGTTAATTGGATGCAACACAACTCAACATTTTGCTTCTGGGTTCAATAATAATTATTAAATAATAGAAATGGTCTATAACCAGTAAAACAAACAGATATGAAAATAATTCTACTTCTTAAAAAGAAGTCTTCAGTAGAGTCCAAAAAGTATTCTTACTGCCTGCATTTCATTCAGTTCTTTCTGATACTTGATCATCTGCTGGGTCAATTTCTCACGTTCAGATTTAAGCTCCATATGTAGCTTTCTATTCTCCTTCTCTTTTCTCCGCACATCTGTGTCATTACCACGCTTGACAGGTTCTTTGCGATTCATGATCTCAGCCAACTTATTCACAGCCTTAAAAAAATGTAAAAATAAGTATAATACATAAATAAGATAAATAACGTGTATGGTTTCTCAGTATCTCATCAATAGCAACAAGTCATGCAATCACAAATACTCTCCTTCCCTACACACAGGGCTACAAAGAAACACTTTTTATAATATTTGAATAATACACCTCCTTTACTACTCATCATCCTTCTCCATCCAATGCGCCATTAGATTTTTATTCGTGTTTTCTGAGAATTATAATTTAAATATTTATAGAATTGATCTGATGTTGCTTTCTACCATTATGACTTTTTAGTTCTAAGAGAGACTTTAATAGGCAGACCTTTCTGCTTTTATTCTGGAGGAAGAACATTTTGCAGTGGCATCATATTAATAAAATATTCTATGTCCAACAACGGTGAAGAGTACCTAGTACCCCACCTGTTCATGCAATACATATGCAACTGTAGGAGTTGGCAGAGAGTGAACTAACTGACCCTTTTCAGGTTGTCAGTAAATGGTCAATCCCAACAGTTCTTAAAAGTAGAAAAACATATTAAATTACAACCATAAATTGAAAGAGAATGTGATTCCAAAAGGAAAAATTAAGAAAAATTTTAGTAGCTATAGAATTGAACAATATTAATCAAATCTAACTTCTCCCAACCTGGCAAAAATCAGATAATTGTGACTTCACAAATACTGGTACATTCGATGACTACGCTACCAACTTGTAATGTTCAAAGTAAAATGTAAAACAGATAAACTGAGACAAAATTCAAAATCATATTTAGATTCTATTATACATACTTGAGTTTTGAGTGTTCTTTCTGTTAACAGCTGTTTCTCAAACTGTGCTTTAATAGCTGCTGCGCTTATTTCTTCGTCTTTCAATCTAGACAGTTCTGAAACATGGAAAAAAGTTAAAATTACATTGGTAATTACAGTAGCTGATATGAAAAATAAACATTTTTGTTAATACATACGCTCTTGAACATCTTTCAGCTTGTTATTTAATTCTTCTTTCTCATTCGCAAGATTGGCAACATCACTAGTTAGTGTCCTATTAGTTTCTTCAAGCTAAGAAATGAAAGAGGAAAAAATAATCACATCCCAATTTACATAGTTTATGTTATAAAACAATGATTCAAATAAGAAACATTCTAGAATATTGTTAAACCTCTTATTTTTCCTTTTATTTTTTTTGTGAGTCTTGCTCTGTCACCCAGGCTGAGTCTTGCTTTGTCACCCAGGAGTGCAGTGGCGTGATCTCAGCTCACTGCAACCTCCGCCTCCTGGTTTCAAGTGATTCTCCTGCCCCAGCCTCCTGAGTAGCTGGGATTACAGGCATGTGCCACCACACCTGGCTGATTTTTGTATTTTTAGTAGAGAAGGGGTTTCACTATGTTGGTCAGGTTGGTCTCAAACTCCTGGCCTCAAGTGATCGCCTGCCTAGGCCTCTCAAAGTGCTGGGATTACTTACAGGCATGGGCCAACGCACTTGGTGTGAAGGAAGTTTTATTGTAAATTATGTGTTTCCCCTTTCCACCCATGATTGTATTTCATTACATACACATGAAACAATACATAGCGTGGCTTTATGTGATTTTCTTCTTCTTTTTTTTTTTCTCTCTTTTTGGAGACAAGGTCTCAAGCTCTGTTGCCCAGGCTGGAGTGCAATGGCACTCGATCGCCACTCACTGTAGCCCCAGCCTCCAGGGTTCTAAGGGTCCTCCCACCTCAGCCCCCATGAGTAGCTAGCTGGGACTACAGGCATGAACCACCACACCTGGCTACATTTTTTTTTTTTTTTTTTTGTAGAAACAGGGTCTCACTATGTTGCCCAGGCTGGTCTCAAACTCCTGGAGCTCAAGCAATACTCCCACCTTGAACTCCCGAAGTGCTGCAATTACAGGTATGAGCCAGCATGCCAGGCTGTGATTTTCAATCTTACTGAATTTATCTTTCTGTAACTGTTTTCACTCAATAGCATATTAAAGTATTAAATTGCTGATACAAATGAAGACTTAATTCATTTTAACTGACATAATAGTTCCATCTTCTATTACATTTAATGCATGCATTCATTCATTCATTCACGGATATTTGAGTTTTTGCTAACATATTTATGCCGCTATAAGCATTGTGCCGAAGTTTCTATAGTGTATTTATCTTAATGTAGACTTTCTTTGGACTGCATTATGTGAATGCCTAAAATTTACTGGAAACTGTCATATTACTTACTGTACTATGCCATAGCAAATTTATACTTCCCACAGTGAATAAGAATGCCATTTTCTAGACATTCTTCAGACACTTGAAATTGTCAGCCACTGAATTTCTGCCAACGTGATGGGTACGAAATGGTATTTCAAAGTTGTTTTACCTAGGCTTTTCTTGGACAATAGTGAGGTTAAGTATGTGCTTATATATTTACGTTTTCCCTTTTAGCTAAGTTTTCTTCCAAATTCTTTAATCTTACTGAATTATCGACATTCTACATATACTGTAGATACAAATCTCTTGTTTAATAAATATATTACAAATATCTCCTTTCTGTCATTTGTTTATGCTGTCCTCTGTCATATGCAACTTTTAGATTCTGTTCTAATAGCTTAAAATTTTTATTTTTCATAGTTAGTCCTTAAGATAGCTAGAATTTACTTTTCTGTGTGGTGTAGTGGGGATTTAATTTTATTCCTTTCCACATAAAAATACAGTTATTCCAAAACCATTTATGAAATGTGTCCTTTCCCTGTGATTTGTACACTGCCACTCCCATCATATATACCAAGTTCCTGTATGTGCAGAGATCTTTATGGCCTCCCTTTTTCCATTTCCACTGAACAGGATTGAATATCCCTGTTCTAATACCACACTTTTTAATTACTGCAGCATTTCAATATGTCTAGTTAATTGATAGGGTAAACCTAACTACTTGATATTTGACCTCTCTCTGAAATTTTTATTGCAATTTTTTCATCCTGCATGGAACTGTTTTCCTGGTAGTTTCAAGATTCTTCTGAACTAAGTTCTATTTAAAAAGAAAAAAAAATGACCCTTTCACTTTAGACCTTTAACTTTGAATTCATTAACAGGTGAAGTCACTTTTAGTAAGCTCCTCTGACAACACTGAGAAGATGACAGTTAACTAGATAAAAAATCTTGTAGTCAGCATATATGATTTTTCATTTAGATCTGTGATACTTAGTATGTCTAAAGAAGATTTAAGATATAGCAATTTAATTATAATCCAAAAAAGCACCAAGAATTTGACTTACAGAAGCAATTGTGGCATCTTTTTCGGTAAGTTCCTGTTTGTGTCTAGCCATCATCTCTTTGATCTCCAGCTCTTTCATGATCTTCTCTTTTTCCAAATCAGAATATTGTTCTTCAGCAATTGAACGAGCCAGTTGCTCAGAATCTGCTTTGGTCAAGGTGATCTCCAGTTGGGCAGCCAAGGAGTCCCTACATTTTAGCAATATATCATTTTAATGGTTCAGTTTTCACTATTAAGTGAAAGTTTTTGTCTAATTCACTTCATCAATAATTTTTTATTTGGTGATTACCAGGCATTGTTCTAGGAGCAAAGTATACAGCAATGAACAAAAAGAGATAAGGGTCTCATACTTACCGTTCATCCTGTAATTCCTGTTTCTTTTGCTGTAATTCTTTACCAAGTTTGGTCTTTTCTTCACATTCTTCTTTAAGCTCCCTAACTTGTGTTTTATAAAGGGTCTAAATAGCAAAATAAATAAAATGTATATCATCATCAGGAATATTGCTTCACATTCAAAAGCTATCCAGACAAAAAGGAGAACGAACACATACATATATCTTCTTACTGTTAAGTCCCTGAGCAAATGAATAGTTTAATGAACTTTCCTATTTCTAGTCATCAATTAACTAATACAAATTCAGCTAATAATTAAGAAGTATGATTTTCAACTGGATATCATAGTGATATTTCTCATTTAATAGCATAGATAGGTAAAATGAGTAAGGAGGGAAGGAAAAACATTAAGAATTAGACAAAAAATGTTGTTAGCTTAAATCAATAAAACAGGAGTTTCTACTTCATATTTCTAAAACTGATGTCAAAAAACCACAACTATTAAAAATGATAATTTTATTATAATTTTATTTCTTGCCTTATGAAAATATTTTCTTCCTGAAAACAATGCTGTTAATCAGCTTCATCAGGTATGTTATGTGCTTAGAATTATTTTTCTAGCAATAATAAATTTCTCTTAAACTACCTATATTCTTTTGCCCAGCTGCTCTTTTTATGAGTTGTATGGTATAAATAAAACATCCCATCCAAAACTGTTTGCTATTTGCAAATTAATGCGTCTGGAACTTACTGAGAAATACTGTTCTGCTTCGAGTTGATCCTGGAGCTCCTTCATTTGCCCATCTGCATCCTGACGTTCTCTGTGAGGACAATAAATCAAAGGTTTAACTAATTTACACACATTTTAAAGGAGCAGCTCTCAAGGTATGATCTGGGGGAAGCCCTGGGAGTCTCTGAGGTTCTTCCACAGAACCCATGAGGTCAAATCATTTTCATAATACTGAGCACCATAGCTTTTTTTAAAGTCTCATTCCCTCGTTATGTACCATATGTACTTTTCCTGAGGCCACATGACTTGTAATTATGTCATTCTGATGGTCAAAAAAATATGTGTTTGTGTGTTCCTGTGTTTTAAAGTTTTCTCAGTTTTAATTTCTAACACAATACAAATCATTAGATAAAACAAACGAAAACACAAACTCATTTGGAACCCTTGATAATAATAATAATTATTATTATTATTTTTTGAGATGGAGTCTCGCTCTGTCGTCCAGGCTGGAGGGCAGTGGCGCCATCTCGGCTCACTCCAAGTTCCGCCTCCTGGGTTCATGCCATTCGCCTGCCTCAGCCTCCCGAGTAGCTGGGATTACAGGTACCCACCACCTCGGCCGGCATAATTTTTTGTATTTTTTGTAGAGATGGGGTTTCAACGTGTTAGCCAGGATGGTTTCGATCTCCGGACCTTGTGATCTACCCTCCTCAGCCTCCCAAAGTGCTGGGATTACAGGTGTGAGCCACTGCGGCCAGCAGAACCCTTGATAATTTTTAAGAGTTAAAGGGGTTCTGAGACCAGTGTTATACTAAATCAACATTGAATCACACATTCACATACAGATATTATGATCAGCCATTTATGCCAACCAAGTGTAAGAATCCAAAGAGTACCTCAAATCTGGTGATCTTAGTGGGGAGTGAAGAATGCCTGGGAGGGGGTTTCTGGGGAGGTAAGAAGTGCTGGCTTTAGATCTAAACATGGATGGTGGCTGCACAGATTTGCATACTTTGTAAAAATTCACTCAGCTCCACACTTAGTATTTGTGTACTTTTTCTGTATTATGTTAATCTTCAATAAAGGAATAAAATAATAAATAAAATAAAAGCAAGCCCAACAACCCATTTAAGAAGCTAGGTTGAAATGGTACGTTAAATTCTGGCCTTATTTTAAAAACATAAAAATTATAGTTATTCCAAACCAAAACTAAGGAGGAATAAAGTAAGTTGGAGAACAATACAATTTGTATCATATAATTTAAAAACAAGCAAAAAACAAAATAAAATGTATAGAAAAGTCAACCTCATATATATTTGCTCAGAAATATGGATAAAGGCACAGAAAACAGTCTGGAAGGAGAAATAACAAACTGTTGACATGTTACCTCTGGAGAGAGGAAAATGTCTGCATTCATGAAGGAGAGCTTCTACTGCTTTATCTTTTTTTTTTAAATATAGTCTTGAGTATTTTACAATGGGAAGCTATATGAATACCACTTGGGTATTTAAAAAATCTACAATGCAGGAAGACTCAGAGGTAGCACGTGATTTAACCCCAGTCTCTCCAGTTCGTATACTGCTTAGAAGGTTTATCCTCATTCCCATTTAACATAATTTGCTCACTTTGTTTACTCACTGGCTCTTAAACTTGCAGGTAAAAAAGGAAGTTATAACTCAATGTCACTTAACTGTGTCATTTCTGTATTTTATTGTTGATAAGTATACTGTTGAGAATTCATGATTCTTATTTCTCCATGAGGCAAAGATGTGAGAGATGCTATTTAACAAATATATGAAAGGTCAAGTTTCAAAACTGTCCAATCATTGTCAGCTAAGCCCACTTGTAGCAAACCACAGTATATTTTCTTCTTCAAGAGCTGATATCTTTCATTTATATGTAACTTTTAAAACCTAATATTTATTAGGTATTTAAGAAAAGTAATTTTCAGAAAGTATTATTTCAGAAAGCAACCATGTAATAGGCACGTGGTTACAAATGAGGAGTACAGAACAGCAGGAAGAAATTACGGGAAGTAGAAGTCTCCTCATGCCACACCTCTCCACCCCTACTAATCCTGTTCCCCTAGAAGAAATAACTGTTTCATTTCTGTGTTGTCTTTTGGTGGTTACCTCCACATCTCAGTTATTTCTTGACATAAGTTTTAGATATTATTTGCCAATTCCCTGTTGTCAGACTTGAATTTAGCTCTCTTGTCTTCCCCAACCTCTCCCCACCTCCCAATAGTTGTATCACTCATCTAAGTGGTATAATGAACCCCCCATTTCCCTCTTAGAGCAACCACAAACTACAATCTCCCCAGTTTATTAGATGAGAACTCTAACACTCCCACCCTGTCTTTGTTTTTGAAATTTCATGAGAATATATCTAGATGTAGATCCTTTTTCATTTATTTGCTGAGTCCCTTCAGTCTAAAGACATTTCTCCTTCGGCTATGGGAAATTCTTCTCTATTATTTCTTTAATTTCCTCCTCTTGGTTTTTCGTTCTTGCTGGAATTCTTATTTGCTGGGTGCTAGATCTCCTAGAACAGTCCCTCTGTGCCTTACCTATCTATGTCTTTCAAACCTTCCATGTCATTTCTTCTTTTGTTCTACATTTTAGGAAATTTCTTTGACTTTTCTTCGAACCCTTCCAACAAATTTATATTGGCAGTAATTACTCATCTTCAAGAGCTCTTTCCTATTCTGGCTGTTCCTTTTACATTGTATCTGGTTCTCAATTAATGAAAGCAGTATCTCCTGAAATCTTTGATCAATACTAATTACCAGTAGCTTTCTACAGTGCTTTTGTTTTTCCATAACTTTTAGCAGTTCTCTTCTACTCCTTGATACATGTTTCCTCCGGGGGCACTTTTCCTCTTTCATTATTATAATCTTCCTCTTTCAGATTGCAGGCTTTCCTCAAATGCTTAGTGATACTTGGTTATTTATTTTCAAAGGAGGCGAGAAAAACTTTAATCTCTATGTATGTAGGAGTTTTCTCACTGGCAAGCTTCAGTTTAAGATGAGAGGCTTTAAAAGCCAGCATTAAGCAAGGGGACCCCTAAATGCCAGAGTGAGAAAGGCTTTTCACCCCATATTAGCTGTTCTAATTACCCCAGAGGTTGTACCCAATTACCCTGTAGAGGAGAATGCTCTGATAAAAACCCTAGTGGTGGGAGGTGCCTGGCTGCAGACATATCTGCAAGGGTATGATCAGCAGATTATGTATGTATGATATGTATGTATGTATGTATGACAGAGTATGATCAGCAGATTAGTTCATTTAGTGTCACAGCTTACTCCAGGCCTTACTTGCTCTGAATACTTTTTTTCCATCCATATCCCACTTCATATATACCCCAGGCCTTATATATACTCCTTTCTTCTTTTGTTCTACTTCATCAGTCACAAGGCTTCCATTTAACTGCCATCTCATTCGCTAGAGAACTTTCTTGCCCTCCAACCCATTCTCTTTCTTTCTTACTGTGGGTTTATACATTTTTAAAATTCCTTTACTAGAGTTCTTCTGGAATCTTACGAGAAAGAAGAGATATGTATGTTGGCCATTTAAAAAAGAAGCCAACATAGCACTTCATATGTAAATTCCCATTGCATGTATTTTTTTTTTAATCTTGCATTCAATTACTTATGTACCTGCCTTATCTTCCTCACTGAATAACTAATGATAAAATGCTAGTAAGCTTCTCATGGGTAGGAAATGTATTTGGTTAATCTTTCTATCTTTCATAGTAACTACTACAATGCCTTACATCTAAGAGGGATGTAAACATTCATACAACATTTATTGAGGATGTAGTATATGTAAAACCTTAATCAAGGATTGGGGGCCGGGCACAGTGGCTCACACCTGTAATTCCAGCACTTTGGGAGGCAGAGTCAGGCAGATCACCTGTGTCAGGAGTTCAAGACCACCTTGTCCAATATGGTGAAACCCTATCTCTACTAAAAATACAAAAATTAGCCAGGCATAGTGGCAGGCACCTGTAATCCCAGCTACTTGGGAGGCTGAGGCAGAATTGCTTGAACCTAGGAAGGGAAGGCTGCAGTGAGCTGAGACCATGCCACTGCACTCCAACTTATGCAACAAGAGAGAAATTCTGTATCAAAAAAAAAAGGACTGGGGAGAACAAAATATAAATAAATGATTTTTGTCCTTCAATTTTAACCCTACGAACACTTTCTCTATAACCCTATTAGGTGGCTAAGATACAAAACATGGGTGTCTTTGGTGGGGAGAGGTAAGGAAAAGAGGGATTAAGAAACAACGGAACGCTATTCACTTACAAGGAAAATAAGAGGCATACACACTAGGTATAAACAAAGCATTATTAGAAGTGGGAAGGAAACACAACCTAGATGATTAACTAGCTCTTACATTTGCATAAACGCTATTGTTAGAATAAAAAGCGGGCCTGAAATGAGAGAGAAAAATAAAGCTAATATACAGGAAAAAATAAAAAACACAATGAAAAAGATGTCTGATTATTGTTCCAATTTCTAATTCCAGTTTTAAAAGTTTAAATCTCATGAAGTTGAAGGTCTAGGCTTACCCTGGCATAAACAGATTAGCCAAAAAAAAAAAAAAAAAAAAAAAGGCTACTTGAATATTTTGAGCATCCTTTCTTAGACAGTATCAGTCTTACTGACCTATCACCAGGTGTGCATAAAGCAGACAATTACAATGAGGATAAATTAGTAGTAGCTGTAGTAGTTGTAACAGTAATAGATCTAGCAGTAATAGTCCCTAACACTTCTCATATGATGCATGCTTTAAATAAACCATTGCTTTTCTTCAGAAGATCCCTAACAAGGAAGCGATTACTGCTCCCTTTCACAAGTGTGATAAAAGGCTTAGAGAAATTAAATCATTTGCCCAGTGTTGGTTAGGTGGTAAGTAACAGAACCAATATTCACAACTCTGTCTGGATCCAAAGCCTTTGTTCTTTCCACTCTATCACACTGTCTTTCATCAAACAACTAGGATCCAATATGACCTCTGGTCATGATTAGGAAGAAGTAGTTCACCTACTAACAGAATAAATGGGACAAATTTTAACAGTATATCTACTATATATTTAAATTTATGTTTTTTAGAGTTGAGTTCCTGTTATGCTGCCCAGGATGGCATGTAGTGGCTATTCACAGGCATGATCACAGCGCAATCGCACTTCACCTCAAGTGATTCTCCTGCCTCAGCCACCCAAGTAGCTGGGACTACAGATGTGCACCACCGTGCCTATAATATTTTTAAAGTATTTTAACAATATGTTTTCCACTTTATAAGTAAATCAAGTAGAGCACTAGAGTATATCCTATGACACAATTAAAAATTTACATGCTGTTTATTTAACAGTCAAACATTTCCAAGTCTAAGAAACTAAGGAAACAAACAACAGGCACACGGACAATAGGCTTGAGAAAGAGCCCTGAGGAGGAATCTAAAAGCATGGTGTGAAAATCCCAGGTATTTGCTTCTGCCTCATCACTAACACTTCCTCTGTCATCACATTGTAATTAGGTAGCAGTGGTAAAAACTGTTGGGGAAACAAATATAATCTTGAAGGACAACAGTGACACTCAACACATTACTTACACAGAAAGAAAGAGAAAACGTGGTCAAGAAAGTAAAATGCTCAAAAGAAAACCCACAGATACACCAAAATTAACATATACATGGATAATTCTGCATATTAAAACATCTCAATCAATTAACTTACTTTCGAAGTTCAGCATTTTGTTTTTCCAAGTTCATTTTCATTTCCATGAGATGGTTATTTTCTTGCTTTAACTGCTTTTCTGACATTTTCAGTGTGTTAACCTGTTGTGTTTGCATCTTCAGGTCATTTTGTGTAAGGCAGCGCTTCTGAGTTTCTTGCTCTATTTTTAACGTCAGGTTCCTAACCTAAGAAATAAATTATGTACTTGGTATATAAGTAAATTATTTCTATTTTTTTAATCAATGAAGTTGGTATAAAATATGGTGATGTAAAACAGATTTTTTTACCCTTAGGTAGCTAATTCATTTCATACTAAAATTTTTTTTGTATTTCTAATAATATTATAATTGCATTTTTAAAACAAAATATAATCAGGTAAATATAACTTTAAAAATGTTTAAATTATGATTCCTTTAGTACAGCATCAAAATTTAGTTAAACCAACAAGTTGTAGACTATTATAAGAAAAACTTTAAAATTATGAAACCATCACTAGACCTTCGTGAATAAACTTATTAATTCATTAGTTTATTATTAATCATTAGTACGCTTAATACTTACATCCTCATTTAGCACATCTTTCTGTTTAAGGAGCTCATTTATTTTCTGCTGTGACTGTTTGAGGTCACAGTCTAATATAGAACATCTTTTCTCAGCTTCTAGCAATAGGTTCTCCACTTTCTGTTTTAAAGTTCTTTCCTCCAAGAGCTTCTTCTCCATTTCTAGTATAATAAAAATGGGCATAATCATAAATTTACATATAAAAGAAGCATTTCAAATATATGACAGTGCTAATAAAAATTACAATGATGCTGCCTTATATTTGTATTGATTTTCAATTTAATATTTTAATAAATTAAAAAATAAAAGCACATTAAATATATGACACCATACTAACAAAAATTATAATAAATGATGCTGTCTTATACTCTATTAATTTTCTTTTTTTCTTTTCTCTTTTTTTTTTTTGAGACAGAGTCTCACTCTGTTGCCCAGGCCGGAGTGCAGTGACACAAAACTCAGTTCTTCATAACCTCCTGGATTCAAGCAATTCTTGTGCCTTAGTCTTCAGACATAACTCGGGTTTACAGGTGTGCACCACCACACCTGGCTAAGTTTTGTATTTTTAGTAGAGACAGGGTTTCCCCATGTTGGCCAGGCTGGTCTCAAACTCGTGACGTCATGCAATCCACCCACCTCGCCACCCAAAGTGTTGGAATTACAGGCATGAACCACTGCGCCTGGCCTTAATTTTCAATTTAATATTTTCACTACTACTCTCAATATATTTGAAATGTCAAGAATTTCATACTTGAAAATTAGGAGTTTCATTCACAGAGCATAAAAATGTATCACTCTCTGCAATATTACATCTATTCTAATGGAAGTAAGATAGTTCTGCCTTTATTTATATTCTACAAGATGCTTACATCTTTAAATAAAGATTTCTTGTATTTTACTGCTACTCTGTGTCTCTCAGTGTTACTATATTTACCTTAAAACAATTCAGGTAGATTCCATGATCTCCATAGCACTTTCCCTATTAACACATTATTATGCAGATATGAAAATTATGTTTTACGGAGGTGGTAAAGGGCAGGACTCTGGAACCAAATTTTCTGAGCTTAACCCCTGGGTCTAACACTGTTGGACTGGGCAAGTGATTCACCTCTCCGCACCGCTGTTTCCTTATCTCTAGAATAGGGATAACAGCACCTACCTTCCTAGGGAGGTTGTGAAGATTTAATACATGTGTACCACTTAAATGCTGCCTGGCATATGGCAAGCACTTGGTAAGTGCTTATTATTTACGCAGAATTTTTAATGACCTAAGGAAACGCTCACAATGTTTCTTTGCTCTTTTAAAAAGCAAAATGGTATAGAAAACAGAGAAAATTTACAAAATAGTATCCTACTCATAGGATTATGAGTAATCTTTGCTTTTTTCTTTTTATACTTTCCTGTATTTTCTAAATTACTTACAATAAACTTTTAATCTATTTTACTTATCAGAAGACAAAGTGCCAAGTGATTTCAGTGTTAAATGTAAGTCATCACAGTTAGAGTATTATCTTGATATACTGGTTAGTACTTCAGTTCACATTCAATTAAGGCTCTTCTGCTTTTTCATAACCAATGCTCAACATCTAATTATCATCTATTATAAAGTTATATTAGATAAAAATTAAACCTATGAATATTTAGTGTTTAATGAATGGTCTTCAAAAGTGCAGAAAAATGAAACATTCCCCATGTAGTACTAATAATAGTTAGCATTTCTAAACACTTTACATGGTTTACTGCACTTGATTTTCACAACAAGGTAACAATACTATAATTTTCCCTTTACAGGAAACAAGGCACAGAAAGTTTAAATAACTAGACAAGGTCACATAGCCAGTAATTATTTGGTAAGCCATGTTCTTAATCCAAGGAGCTAATGACATGCAACAGGAGGACCAAAGACTTTAGCCTCAGATTTGAATACCATTTATAATATTTAACAGTTTTGTGTACTCATGTGTAAAATATGGAAGTCATCATGTATCTTACACATTAGCGTTTTAACAGTTTGAAAAAAATGGTAGTTAATACTGAATTGGTTCGTTTTTATCAGTTCAGAGAATAACCACTAAACAAATGTCCTCATTAAAAAAAAAAAAATCACCATAACGTAGGCATAACGTAGAACAGAAAGAGGCATTACTGCAATAATGAAACTACTCTTTTTTTTTTTTTTTTTTTTGAGATGGGGTCTTGCTCTGTTACTGAGGCTGGAGTGCAGTGATGCAATCATGGCTCACTGCAGCCTTGAACTCCTGGGCTCAAGCAATGTTCCCACATCAGTCCCCCAAGTAGCTGGGACTACAGGCGCACGCGACTACATCCAGCTAATTTTTCTATTTCTTGTAGAGATAGGGTCTTGCTATGCCAACCAGGCTGGTCTCGAACTCCTGGGCTCAAGAGATCCTCCCATCCTGGCCTCCCAAAGTGCTAGGATTACAGCTGTGAGCCACCATACCTAGCCTGATATATTCTTTATCTCATTTTGAGCAGTAGTTATGTAAGCATATCACAAAACGTAAAAAATGTTTACATTTTATTATTGCATGTAAATTATACCTCAATGAAAATAATTAAACTCTGTCTTCTAGGCCACAGACAAGGAAACTTTCTCCCTTACAATTAGATTTTTCTAAATAAAGTACTCATTTCTTTCTTATCATCCTGATTTAGTGCCTTAAACTACACTGGTTTTTACTAAGCAAATCATGCAATAATTAAAAGGCTATTTTTTTCTAAGTGATTTACTCATAAATGTTATGCTTCAGTATGAAAATAAATTTCTGTTCAAGAGTTTTAAGCCTTTCACAAGAATAGCTTAAAGTACTGATTTTCTTTGGAATTTCAGAGTCATTATAAACAGTCAGTTTGGAAAAGAAAAAATTATCCTAAGACAATTCCAGGATAAAGGCTAGTTTATGGGAAGGTTAACTTTGTTATCTATTAGTATTATATGGCTTTGACCAAATCTGACTAGTATCTTCATCACATTAGAGATCAAAATACTCAGTGAACTTATATTCTAGTTAGACCAGCTACTACTTTTAAATCCTTACCTTGCATAAACTGGCAAGAATTTTATAATACAAAACTCTTGTATTACAAGAATTTACCTGTATCAATAGTAACAGGTATACAGCATGTGAAGTTCAGACATACCTTCTTACTACTGATATACATATACAGAGTGGTACAGATATTGCCAGGTATATAATATTGAGAAATATTAATTTATCTCTGATCTAAAAATCTCTGATCTAAAATATTAATTTATTTTTGATCATGTAATTTTGTGTTTGGGTCTTACTATCTTAGAAATGATTACTGTAATGATACAAAGGAAAAATAATATAATATCTATGTAAAGCTTCCCTAATAGCTTTTTCCCCTCCAATTCCCAATATTTGACAACGAAATATAAACAAATATGTTTCAAAACCAAAAAGCTGAACACAGAATCAATTCTTAGGAAGATGCTGCTGGAAAACCCTCTTTAAAAATGCATACCTTTCATGGCTTCTGATTTGGCTTCTTCGATGGACTCATAGATCTTATTTTTATCTGCTAGTCGTGCCTTTGTGGCCTTATGTTCAGCTTCTTCTTGTTCTAGGCTCTGCTGTATAACTTTTAGTTGGTATGTCATATCTATTTCCATGTTGCTTTTTTCCTGTTAAATATTTAAAATGCAGCTATCAACAAAAGAGAGACTAGCTCACAATTTCAAAAGCTTTCTAATTTTTTTTTTTTTTTTTTGAGACAGAGTCTTGCTCTATTACCCAGGCTGAAGGGCAGTGGTTTGATGATGGCTCATTGCAGGTGCAACCTCACCAGGCTCAATCGATCCTCCCACCTCAGCCTCCAAAGTAGCTGGGACTATAGACATTTGTCACCACTCCTGGCTATTTTATTTTATTTTTTAATGTAGAGACAAGGTCTCACTAAACACTGCCTATCCTACACTGATCTTGAACTCCTGGGCTCAAGTGATCCTCCCGACTCAGCCTCCCACAGTGCTGAGATTATAGGTGTGGGCCATGGTGCTCAACCTTAAATCATTTTTTAACAGGCTTAATACGAATGTTCAGTATTTTCCCTCCCATCTTCACTCAAACCTCTTAGAATAGTAATCTATATACTCTACTTCTCACTTCCCACTGCACCCAAGTCTACACCACCACTCTGCTGTTCCAAGATCTGTATCAAGATCACTTAATCTCAACCAAAAGACCAATGCTATTCTCAATATCAAATTCTAAAGACCTTTTTCAATCTTATCTCATCTGAACTCACTGCCACCCTTAAAACCATCCCTTGGCATTGCCGACCTTGTACTTAGTTGGTTCTCTCCATTCTGCTTGCATCCTTCCTGTTGCTTCTGAGGCTTTCCCAGCTGTCCCTTAATGTTGGTGATCTAAGCCTCAATGCTCCTCCTATTTTCTACATATTCCCCAAAGGTTTTCTAATTCTTTTAGTTCTATAGTTCATATCATGAATATGATAAAGGGTTTTTTCCAAATAAAACCTTTCATACAAAAAATGATTTCTCAAACTACATAATCCACCAACAGAGTTATCTACTCTGTCCTAAAAAAAAAAAAAAAAAAAAATCACTACTTTACACAGTCTCTTCCCAGATGGGCTATTTCACTCACATGATTTCAGCTACTAACATACCAATGACTCAAATATTTCTAACTTCGACTACTATAGCCTACTGCAGTGCAGACATTCTAATTTGGCTTTCCCATAGGTACCCTCAAACTTAAGAGGACTAAAGTGGGTTTATCACTGTCTCTTCTAAATGAGCCATTTTTCCTTTATTCTTTATTAATAGCATCAGTATATATCTGGTCACAACCTACAAATCTGAGACTCATCTTTGACTGCTATTCATGTGCCATATCTAATCAACTACTAAGTGCTGCCAAATATTCCTCTTCCAAATATTTCTCAGTCTTTCAATTTTTCCAACCTTTTAATGGCTACACGAAGTCTCCCATTATTCCTTATCTGCATTACTGAAAAAGTCTACTGACTGGTCTCTCTGCCTCTAGTCTTGTCCTCCTCAAATCTTTTCTCCACACAGTACACAGTGATCTATCTTTAATGTACCTCTAATAAGATCATCCAATTTAAAGCCCTTAAGTGGCTAGCCCATTACTATATTCAAAATTTCTTAATAGAGTATTTGCTATCTTGCACGACCTACCTCATGTGGAGCTCTGTAGCCTCACTCTGACCACTGAATTCCTCATGTCCTTACATAACAACCACATTGTGATCTTCAGGCCAATCTAACCTGATGTCTTTTTCTTTTCTAAGTTTCACTGGAACATAGCCACAGCCATTCCTTTATGAATCACAGCAGGGCTGAACAGTTGCAAGAGACCATATAACCCACAAAAGCTAAAATATTTACTATCTTGACTTTAAACAATTAAAGTTTGCTGACCCCCCACTCTATACTCTAGAAATATTGAACAGCTTTTATGTAAATAAACAAACAATGCCTTTTTTATTTTTCATCCTCTATGTCTTTGCTCATGCTGTTCTTCCTAACTTGGACTGTGCCTTTGCCCTTATCAACCTTTCCTGCTGTCAGGTTAGGGATGCATCCCATACACCCAATACATATACCCCGTCCATAAGTCTTACCATTCTGTTTCCCATACTGCATTAGAATTATCTTTGTGCTTTATTATTACTTTTAAACTTACCTATTCAACTGTGACATTATTCAAGGCAAGAACTGCATCCTGATATTTCTACCACATATAACACACTGAATATTTAGTTGAGTAAATAAATAAGTGAATGAAAATAAAACGCTAACTGTATAGACTCTAGAAATCGTCCCTTTCTTAAGAGTATTTTAAAGGAAAAACTTTTAAATGCCAAAAGTCACGGTGACTTTATATATATCATTTTTAAGGCATGTTATGAGTCAAAATTTGAGTTTTCCTTGAGTTCCTACAGAGATCCTCATTATCTACACTCCAGGATAGGTCCCCTTCCTTTGTGAGCAGCCAGCATGCTGAGGGCTGCTTGTATAGCGTTATGGTAAGCCTGCAGATACATCTCTTATCTACATATCAAGTCCAAATGGAAAGGAATCCATGAGCATGTGGAAATACTACAGTTAGTGACTTCCTTTAGTTTAGAATAAGTTTTCTAGCCTGAAAGTCTACAGTCAATTTTCTTATGCAAAAATACAAATCATGTTTTACCTTTTCCAAATCAGTAAATCTCTCCTGCAGTTGCCTCTTCTCCAGTTCTACTTTCGCTATTAAGATTTTGCCGTTCTTTAAATCTTCTTCTAGGCCAGATATTCTACCTAAAAATTTCAACGTTTTTAAAAACATTAAACACACAAAATATATACATTCAATTAAGAATAAAAAGTTTGCAAGCCACCTTCTATTTTGGAGCTGTTATTTGCGAGCAGGAGTTTTATACTTGTTGATGTGCTTTACAGTTAATTCAAATGGAATCCAATCTACTACCTGAAGAGTTTAATACTTAAAATCATACTATTTGAAATTAAATCTTTTGTTCATAAAATTTTGTCAATGTATTTCTAATATTCTAACTTTACATAAGAGTAGTATACTCAGAAATGTCCTACTCCAGCACACTATCCATCATCTAAAGTTATTTTAAAAATAAGAATCATCGGAATTAATTCAAGTGCAACCACGACTTCAATACCTTGTAAATCATTAATTATCTCTGATCCATGGGTTCGATCCCTCCTTTCAGATTCTAGTGCTGACTGAAGATTGATAAATTCCTTTTCAAGTTTTAACTTGGCAGTCTCCAGCAGGCAGTTTTTATCTTGTAGATCTCTATTGTTAGATTCTAGCTGCTGAATCTGTTTTGAACTTTCCGCCTGGGTTTTCCTTAACCGGGCTGCAGTATCAGATTCTGTTCGCAGTAAAGCATTGGTTTCATCCAGCTGTTATTCCATTCAAAACCAAACAACAACAAACAAACACAGATGTATGAAATGAAAATAAGTCAATCTATTCCCCTATTAGAAACTATTTAAAATAAACAAAAACCTAAAAATATTTTCCAAATGATTTCTAAAATTAGAGGTAAAGGCCTTTTGCAACACTTAAATTGAAACTAATGTTACTGCATGGTTATAAATAAAACCCAATATCTTTACTACAAATTGAGATCCACCTACTTGTCTCTGGAGTTGATTCACTTTCTCAGTGGATATCTGAGAGTTTTGATTTCTTTTTTTCAAATCTTCAAGTTGATCTTTTAAGCTGTTAACTATGATAAAAAGCATTTCAGTGGCAAGGTTAACATAACATACATACACACACTTAATTTTTTTCTTGATAATTAATATTCTACAATACAAACCATCATTTTCCAAATTTCGTTTCTTGTCTGCTTCATGATCAGCTTTCCTCTGGTATTCTGCATTTTTGTGCTGAAGAAGCGCCTTTTCTCTTTCTAACTGTCTTAATGCTGATTCCACACTTTTCCTTAAGGTAATCTGAAATAATGCTTAAAGTTATTATCGAAAAAGTATGTATAAAAATAAAATCAAAACAAAAAATACTTGTTATTCCAAACAGATTAAAAAGATCTCAAAAAGGCTATCACTTTTTTGTTAAAACTGTAATAATGCTTTCCATGATTGTAAACTAGCAAACCACTCTTAAATCATAAAGACCATAAATATTTGGTTTACTATTCAAACTTCATGTAACTTTCCATGACTACTGAACTATTATTATTTAATACTTTGGCCTAAAACGTTATGAATAGCATTTTTTCCCTTGAAATATCTATACATACTAAATTAACTCAAGTTTGCAAACACATAACAGAATGAACCCTATTTATAACATGATTTCCCTATAATTTAGTTCTATCCACCAATACTACAAGGTGGGTTTCAAGGCATGTATTACTATAGTACTAAGAGAGCTCCTTAGGTAAGTCCAGACATCAACGATGTTTACTAACGAAAATGTTAATAAAAAAGTGGGGCAACATTACCTCCTCTTCTAGCTCCTTTGCTGTTTTTTCTAGGCGAGTATTAACAGATCTAAAGAATTTCAAAACGAAACAGTAAATAACTTCTAATTTACAATAAAACATAGTCTATAAATTTAAAAGTAATTATATAATCACTATGTAGCTCTTTTTTTTTTTTTTTTGAGAGGAAGTCTTGCTCTGTCACCCAGGCTAGAATGCAGTGGTGCAATCTCGGCTCACTACAATCTCTGCCTCCCAGGTTCAAGCGCCTGTCCTGCCTCAGGCTCCCAAGTAACTACCTTGGCCTCCCAAAGTGTTGGGACTACAGGTGTGAGCCACTGTGCCCGGCCTGAGCTCTCCATTTTTTTTTTTTTTTTTGAGACGGAGTCTCACGCTGTCGCCCCAGCTGGAGTGCAGTGGTGCGATCTCAGCTCACTGCAACCTCCACCTCTCACGTTCAAGCGACTGCCCTGCCTCAGCCTCCCAAGTAGCTCCCTTGCCTTCCCAAAGTGTTGGGATTACAGGCATTAGCCACTGCGCCAGGCTGTAGCTCTCCATTTCTTTCTTCTCTTTTTTTTGAGATGGAGTCTCGCTTTGTCACCCAGGCTGGAGTGCAGTGGCATGATCTCGGCTCACTGCAACCTCTGCCTCCCGGGTTCAAGCAATTCTCTGCCTTGGCCTCCCAAGTAGCTGGGATTACAGGCGCCCGCCACCACGCCCAGCTAATTTTTGTATTTTTAGTAGAGACGGGATTTTACCATCTTGGCCAGGCTGGTCTTGAACTGACCTCGTGATCCACCCACCTTGGCCGCTCTCCTTTTTTCAGTAAATGTTTAAACTTAAATTTTATAAAGTAATAATTATCTACAAAACATACTTGCACTTCTGTTCCAGTTCCTCTTTGGCTTGTATCTCACTGCTAAGATGTTCTTCTAATGTATACAGTTTTTTCTGAATCTATCAAAAAACAAGAAACTGTAATTACGTATTTTGGTCATATTTGAAGATGGGAGGCTTAAAGAAAATGATAAACTGATTTTGTCTTCCACTAAACATAATGTCCTATATAATGGTACAGTATTTGTATCTTCTTAATGTGACTTATATATGATAAAGGGAAAAATTTCCCATCTCTTGCTTTACACATGTATGTATGAACACACTTAGGTAACCATGCATAAGAAGCTCTAACTTTGGCAGAACTGTTCTATGACAGAAAGTTTCAAATTCATTATAAAGAATACCACCTCTGATATCTTCTGCTGCTTTTCTATGAATGATTTGCTTGAAAATATTGTCATTATTTGTGCTAGTCAGATAAAAATGAACACATCTAAAACAAATATTCAGAGTATTCAACTGAATATGCTCAAAAGTATATTACTGTGGAAAATAAGAATATAAGCTCTTCTTTTATATCTTCCTACGTAATGCTGGTAATATTACTGTGGAGTAATCAATAACTTTTGAATAAATGATAGGTAATTAATTACAAGCCATCTCCTCAGCAGTTTTCCTAGCCATGTAAGTCTTTACACAAGCTAAAATTACCGAAACTATTAAATAATCCATTTCTGGAACATTATTTACTTTTTAAAGGATTTAACATTTTGAGCTCCTGTGGTGCCTTTGGTAAAATATCACGTACTTTACAAATATTGTCTTGTTAATATTAACAACAATCCTACAAAGATGGTAGCATTGTATCTATTTGATAAAGAAAATGAAATTCAAAAAAGGTAAATAACCAGGCCAAGGTATTAGCATAGCTAATAAGCGGCAGTGCCAAAAATCAATGCAGTTCTATTAGACTCCCATGGCAATGTTCTTTCCAATATTCCTTCTAGTGATCAGGTTCTCCATGGTTTTAAACACTGCATCTATCTTAAGCAAAACTCTATTTTCCCTTAATAAAAATATACAGGCTAACGAACTAGTCAAGTTTAATTGCTTTTGGCTACTACTGCATTACAATAATTTGAGCATACCATTTATTACATGCTAATCAGAAATTCTTGCTGCCAGTTATATGCCCTTGATAAACAAAAACAATATTAAATAATATATATTTTAAACAGATCCACAGAACAATAATAAAAGAGATACTTGGTAGAAAAAAGGTTGTGAACTTCTCTCTTGGGTAATGTAGTACTCCAAAATGCTAGGTAGGATATGACTATATTTAAACATTGCGAGAGTGATGAGTTTTTCTCAGTTTTTCAATATATCTGACAACATCAACATACCTCTTGACTTTCCTATTTAAAACAAAACAGAAAACACATTAGAATATTAAAATGCTGGTTATATTCTGTAAAATTCCTAAAACACAAACCATAACAAAACTATCCAACCTAATGCTTTAGTTTTCATAAGTTTGAAGAAAAAATGTTTAGCATCATCATTTATGTGTATGTGTATATACATGTATGATTTAGCTTTGCATTCATTTATAGATTATAGAAGTCAATTTTCTAAATGTTATTATAGTTGTTTACAAACTTATTCTATCACTTTTGGCACTCAACTAAGCCTAAAGCCATGTAAAAGTCATCTTTGTACTAGTCACCATGTCTTGAATGACACTATTCGCATAAATCAATCATTGCAATGCTATGTTAAACTGTATTACACAAGGAATGCCATCTCATGATTTTAAAAGAAGCATCAAAATAGCTTTTTAAAAACATGGGTATTACTAAAATATTTAAACATGCAACTAAAATAACTACAGGAGTAAAAATGTATACATACTTCATTTTTCCTTGATTGTATTGAATCATTTTCTCTACAAGATGGAGAGTCACTTAATAATCTATATGGAAGGGGGAGAAAATAAATTATTTTACATTTCATCTTAATCCATGTGCTATTTTATTCAAGTTATTCTCAGACTTAAATGTCAAACACAGATTTCTCTCTTTTCACTTCAATACATTATTTATAAATGAAGCCATATTTTTCCCTCAAGACATCTGTATCATTTCCAATAATTTAAAATACTAGGGCCAGGCGTTGTGGCTCACACCTGTAATCCCAGCACTTTGGGAGGTCAAGGCGGGCAGATCACCTGAGGTCAGGAGTTCGAGACCAGTGTGACAAACATGGTGAAACCTTATCTCTACTAAAAAAAAAAAAAAAAAAAAAAAAAAAAATTAGCCAGGCTTAGTGGCGGACAGCTGTAGTACCAGCTACTCGGGAGGCTGAGGCATGATAATCACTGGAACCCGGGAGGTGGAGGTTGCAATAAGCCAAGATCGCACTACTGCACTCCAGCCTGGGCGACGAAGTGAGACTCTATCTCACTCAATCAATCAATCAAACGCTAAACTTTTCTTGCCTTTCCCTCTTACGAGATAACTAGTCTTTAATTTTGTTTGCACCAGACGCACTAAATGAAACTATACTTCCCACCTCTTCATCTTATTATCTCACTTTTCTTTCTTGTTTCAATCTGTCACCCAGGCTGGAATACAGTGGTACAATAATAGCCCCCTGCAGCCTCGAACTCCTAGGCTCAAGTAATCCTCCTGCCTCAGCATCCCAAGTAGCTAGGAGTACAGGTGCATGCCACTACACCTGGCTAATTTTTAAATTTTTTGCAGAGAAAGAGTCTTGCTATATTGCCCAGGCTGGTCTTGAACTCCTGGCCTCAAGTGATCTGCTCGCCTCAGCCTCCCAAAGTGCTGGGATTACAGGCATGAGCCGCCTGTAATAGTTACAGTTTCTATAACTATTTAATTCTTCTACACCATCTTCTCGAAAAAGACCTCTCTCCTTTTTAAGGATAACACGTCTTTATCTCCAGGTCTTAAAATATATAAATCATCACTTCTATTTTACTATCAATTTCTTTCAACTGGGTTCTTCCCTACTGCCTACACCATGCTTGTGTTTTTCCTGGCACTGATACCCTCATTTTGGTCAGCATGACAGTAGTTTTTAGGGTGACCAACAACTCATCCTGGTTTGCCTGGATTTTTCCTGGTTTTGGCATGAAAGTGTCATGCCACATCCTAGGAAAACCCTCAGTCCTGGGCAAATTGCAATAGTTGGTTATTCTGATCATTACATACTACACACACGGATATACTACAAGTTTGTCAAAAATATGTTTCTCAAATATTCAGTGGCTTCCCAATGCCAGGCAGTCAAAAGCCCCTTAGCAGAGCACACAACAATCATCTGCTGATTATTCTTCCCCAAAACTCATTCTTTTTTTTTTTTTTTTTTTGAGACGGAGTCTTGCTCTGTCACCCAGGCTGGAGTGCAATGGCGCAATCTCGGCTCACTGCAACCTCCGCCTCCCAGGCTCCCACCATTCTCCTGCCTCAGCCTCCCGAGTAGCTGGGACTACAGGCATGCACCACCATGCCCGGCTAATTTTTTTGTATTTTTAGTAGAGACGGGGTTTCACCATGTTAGCCAGGATGGTCTCGAGCTCCTGACCTCGTGATCCGCCCGCCTCGGCCTCCCAAAGTTCTGGGATTACAGGCTTGAGCCACCACGCCCGGCCTTTTTTATTTTAAAGACATGGTCTCACTCTGTCGCCCAGGCTGGAACAGCTCATTCCAACCTTGAACTCCTGGGCTCAAGTGATCCTCTCATCTCAGCCTCCAAGTATCTGGGATTATAGGCACAAACCACCATGTCTGGCTTTCTCTTTTCTTTTGTTGAGATGGAGTTTCACTCTTGTTGCCGAGGCTGGCGTGCAATGGCACAATCTCAGCTCAACCACAACCTCCACCTCCTGGGTTCAAGCGATTCTCCTGCCTCAACCTCCAGAGTAGCTGAGATTACAGGCATGTGCCACCATGCCCAGCTAAGTTTGTATTTTTTAGTAGAGACAGGGTTTCTCCATGTTGGTCAGGCTGGTCTCAAACTCCTGACCTCACATGTGATCTGCCTGCCTCAGCCTCCAAAGTGCTGGGATTACAGGCATGAGTCACCGTACCCAAGTGTTTTTATTTCTTTTTTAAAGACAGGGTTCCACTTTGTTGCCTAGGCTGGTCTAGAACTCCTAGGCTCAACTATCCTCCCACCTCAGCCTCCCAAAGTGCTAGGATTACATGTGTGAATCACCACACCCAGCCTCAACATATTTTCTAATCTTACAGCCAATACTCACTCCAGTTAACCAATATTTATTGAATGATCTTGTGTCAGACTCTCTGCTAGATGCAGAGATTACAGGCAAGAAAACCACGTAGTCTCATCGAGTCCTCTAAACAGTCATGATATAGTAGCACCTGCTCTATGTTTGAGTGCTACCGGACTCAATGTGAGTGCTCTGTTCCCAATGTGTGCTCACATTCCCAACATTTGCTTCCACTATTCAACACCTCACAACTGTCCCCTAATCTCTCCATATTTCAGCCACTCAAAACTTCTTCTTGTTAGACTTGGCTAAAATGCTGCCTCTTCCCAGAGATCTGACCTGACTTCTCCCTATTCGCACCCAAGAGAGATGATTTCTGTTTTTCTTCTGAACCATCCCAGACTCTCTTAGCATCTTTCTTAAGGCAACTGTCACATTTTACCCTTCTTTATGACTATATAATTCTCTTATATCCTTCATGAGATGACAAGCTTCTTCAAAAACAGGTATCTGCTTTTACTCTATATCCCCAAAAGAATGTAAAATGGTGTCTTGCAATAACTTATAAATGAATAACATATAACATTCAGAAATAATAAAATAAAATTAAGAATTCTTCTGATGATAGTTCTTTTGGAAAAAACAAATTAGCACTTTATCTTCTGTAATTCAGTCTCAAAATAAGACATCATCTTATAGCGAGATTCTAAAAACAGTAAATATTAATAATAAACTACATACAAATTTTCTCTATAGTAGGTAAATCCTATGAAAGGCAGCTGATTTCCAACAAAAGCTTTAGGAATTGGGAAGGTTTCTACATCTCCTTTGTCATCTTCAATGTCATCGAAATTGCTGCTGTCTATGTCACTGCTGAGTTCAGGTACTACAGGAGCTGCCGCTATTAAAAGAAAAGAAATAAATTATTTCATTCACAATCAAAATATATAAACCATCCTATTTTATTATGATATATTATTTATTATTTAATAACACTATATAAATTTATAGCAGTGCATTTTCCATTTTGTCGATTCACAGAATTAAAATTTTGTAATTTAATGCTATATTAGATCAGTTTTAAATACAGATTAATCCATTAAACAAGGAAAGCAACATATTATTCTAGTTGTTAAAAATTACAAGCAGCAATAATTTGCACAGAATTTAGAGATCTCAATTTTCTACGTTCTCAAAACAGAAATATTTCTTACCCTTAAAATGAATCAATGTCATATATACATAGTAAAAATAAGACACTATGCTTACCACAATATTTAACAGAGTATGGTCTCCATAAATAATTGTTGATTTGTCAAATCAAACACATTTAAATTAAAGGATTATATTCCCTTGATTCTGAAAATTATTGAGATCTACAAAGCTTAACTTAGCAAATTAAGGAATGTGTAATGTTTATTATAAAAGTGTTGAGAAATATTGCTAACAGTTTGCAAAGATATTGAGCAATATTGTTATAAATACTGCCACAGAACAAATTTGAAATGAAATTTCTCAATTTGAAAATGAGTTAGCATTAAGTATTATCAAACATGCTTGTTATTTCAAAAAAGGAATCAAATTATGAGTTTCAGAATGTGATGGAATGAAAATATTTAGGTTTATTGACTTACTTTCTCTTATGTTATCCCAATGCCACTGATCATTCTTAAAGAAAGGATGTTGTCTGATTTCTTCTACCCCATTTCTCCCAAGTCGTACCTCCCTAAATAATGCAGTTAAAGATTGTATTATTTAAAAATTGTAAAATAAAAAGATTACCTCTACGTCAATAGTTTAACCAAAATAAAGATCTCAAGTAAATTCGAGATGTTTGTATTAAAAGCTTCAGCTTAAATGTTTCTCAAAAATAAGCAATCCCATGTTACAGTATGTGATCTCTAATTAGATAGATTTTAAAAACTGTAATGCATAATAAATGTCATGAAAAGTAAAATGTTTCTGTCTATAGTTTGCATCAAACGAAAGTACATAAGACTATCAAGTAAAAAAATTCACCTGCATGTGCCACGACTGACAGACAATAACTTCAGGATATAAAGAGACATAGGTCTAACTTCTGGCAGAGAAGAGTTATTCAAAACTTCTCTAATAGAAATATTATTTTCAAAATCTCTCCCTTTCCTAAAAAGAATTCATATATTATGTTTGAAGCTATCCACATTTATTCTGGTAAATTACATCTCTACATGTATATTAAAGTTATCATTCTGCATATATGAAAAGTGTTACAAAGAATTTCATTCTTTGAACTTCTGAGTCTTCAATGAAGAGTGTATGGAAATAGCATCTGTGTTATACAAGGCCCTGGAGCTATGTTTATCATAAATAGGAAAACTGTACACCTTAAGGGGAAGTGCTCCTAGCCATATTTATGGCATTAACTTATTTTCAAAATATCAGTTTTCCACCTATAATCATTCCTTAGATTGCACACCCCTGCCCCATAACTACTAATTTAAATATTTCATAACACTCCTTTTATAAACATAAAACAGGTGCACCCTGTTGTACAATTTATCATCTAGCACAAATTATGACCATCCCTACCAATCCTGCTCAGTGCCCACATCAAACATACAGGCTGTGTTCTTCTTCCACCCTATCCTCTAGAAAGAGGCATCTCTCCTTCTTTTCAAAGATAACATCTCCTCATCTCCAGGTCTTAATATATAAATTGTCATTTCCATTTTACTTTGAGTTTATGAGCACCGACTGCTCATCAACCATGTAATTAACAGGTATTAAAGTTTTATTCTACAAATGATTGACAAATAAAAATTATCCTCTTTGATGAAAAAAAGAAAAAACATTTTATAATGTTCAGTTTGATGAGAGGAAAACAATTTTGTTAATGGAAATACATATTGATGTAACTCATCTGGGGATCAATTTTGTAACATCACTTAATTTTAAAATGTGTATCCCAGAATTCCACCTTTAAGATTTTATCCTATAAAAAGTATACAGAGATGAATGTGTGAGGATACTCACTGCAGTAGTGCTTGTAACAAATTAATAAACAACAAGATGTGCCGAGGAATCTTAGCATATTAGAGCTAGAAATGCCCTTAGTTATGTAATTTGAGCCCACTGTTTTATGGATGAGTAAAATTATTTCCCAAAAAAGTAAAAATAATTTCCCCAAGATCACAAAGCTGATGTGTAAGTTTGAACAAGGGTGTGAGCACCCTCTTCTATATGTTGGTCCTTTGATGGGATGACTCCCATCACAAATATAAAATGGGACATTAGAAAAAAATGGAATGGAGTGAACAAGGAAGACAAATCAAAGAGTTTTCTAGCTTCTCTTTTTGGGGCAGGTTTTCTCACCTTTGTTCATCTATTTTGTTTTTAAAAGTATAGAATTTCCAGGACAGTCTTGCTCATATTCAAATGTAAATTAAAAAGGGTTGGGAAGGAAGCACTCCCAAGTCTAACACAAATAGTTTTTAAGATTATAACCTGTTGAGTATTTATCTACACAAAATACTCTCAGAAGTTATATAAAAGTAATATGGATTAACCAGCTTGGAGGATAAAATGTGAACAATACAAAAGTTTTATTTCTTTCAAATCCATTGTTTTACCAAGTTCTATTTTTACCTTTTTAGACATGAGGGTTAAGGTTAGAGTTTGATTACAACTGGGCTGTACACACATAACAAGGAGGTAGCCCAACACCAAGCTTAGCAGAAGGAAAAGGCTAACCCAGAATTAGATACTACTTGGGTAATGAGAGACAGACTAATTTCACATGTTAATAAGCTAGGTATGCTTTTATTTCTACAAATTTAACATAAAAGGGCTTCTCTACAAACAAATTCAATGTACATTACCTATCTGTTAAGAAAGCACAGATGAGATTCTTCGCATGTTTGGAAATTTCTGCATCTTCAGGGAAACACAGTGAATTCTTATGATCCATAATTTTGCTATATGTTCCTACAAGTGAATCTGCATAAAATGGAGTATCCCCTAAATTTCAAGAAAGAAGATACTGAGTGTAACAGAGAATGCAAAGAAAACACTTTTCACCTAATATTTAAGTATGTTAAGTTGAAATTTGTCACATGCAGTGAAGAACAAATATTCTATGGGCACAGAGTCCCAGTCAAAACAACAGACATATTGTTATATTCTAAAACAAAGAATGTATTTAAATTGTAACACCACCAATGACCCCTCATCCCTTAAAAGCAAAATAAAATCAATGATAACTCCAGAATGTGTTGAGATTTTTTTTTTAACGTAAGAAAGGAAATGTTTTACTGAATAGTGCAAGAGAAAGATTTCCTGTATGGGGTCACATCAGTCAGAGTCCTTTAATGCTTGGGCTGGATCAGCATTTTGAAATCACTCTGTAGAGCTACGCTATACACCACAGTTGCCACTAGCTACAGGTGGCAATTTAAAGTTAAAATGAATTACATAAAACGAAAAACACAATTCCCTAGTTATACTAGCCACATTTTAAGTTATGATGTAACCAATGGTTACCACACTGGACAGCACAGATTTAAATCATTTACATCATGATAGGCCAGACAGGGCTGCTCGAAGAGTTAAACCAGCTCTATTATTTTACATAAGAGGAAGTCAGGCCCAAAGAGACAGACTGTGACTAGCTTAAAATGACATGTAGCTAGAGTTGAAAGAGGGCAGAAATGGTCTCCCCATGCAGTGTTCTTACTAATGACTGTGATAGATGCACTGAAGCAAGTATAAAGATAGAAAATGTTGAAGGCACCATTCTGGCCAGTACTGAGCTAAAGCCACAAGTGTTACAGGCTCTGCGAGTACACCTACACTACAAGGAACTTTAATGAAAACCTGACTTTCCTAAATCAGCCAATCCAAAACTTCAAAAAATGTCTTCAGGTAGTTATTTTTTGTTTGTGTTCAAAGAAAGGCAGAGCGGAGCTTTGAATTCAAGATTTTATTTTTTATTTTTTTAATTTATTTTTTAACTTTATGTTAAAAATTTTGTATTTATTTTAATTTTACTCTTTTATTACTACTTTTTTAGACATAGTATCTCATATGTTGCCCAGGCTGGCCTTGAACTCCTGGGCTCAAGTAATCCTCCTGCCTCACTCAGGCTCCTGAAGAGCTGAGCTAGCACCACTCAGCCTCGCAGTCGTGAGAATTTAAATGGCCTCCTCATCGAATAAGCCAGATTACTTACTCTAAAGTACCTTATTTTGTAAATCCCTAGGAAAGTGTGTCTAGGCCAAAAAGAGAATATATTCTATTTTCAAAAGATTACAAGACACAACCTAGGCCAGAGGCGGGAGAATAGACAGCTACATGGGACCATATAATGTGTACAAAGAGACTCACTTTGAAAGGCCCAAAATAGAGTAGGTCATACTATGACATGAAACAAAGCATAACAAGATCAATGCTACATACACAAGACAGTCATCAAGAGAAAGCAATTTATGCCACAAAAAAGTTCAACAGTAATTAAACTTGCAATTTATCAAAAATTTCTGATTTTTTAGCAATAACCATAGTCTTTTATCATACAGGCTTTACACTATTTCTTTTAGGCTCACCTTTTAGAAAACATATTCTCTAATTCTAAAAAGTATATTTTAACTCTAATTAATTCCATATTATGTTACTAGCCTTGACATATTTGCCTTGGAAAGTGGATTTAACTACATTTTCAACCCTCATCCCCATGCCACATCACTGGCTTCCTTAGCCCAAAGGTATTAATATTTTTATGACCCAAGTACTTAGAAATGGGAAACCTTAGGAATGAAATATATGATGTAAAGAAAGTTTTGAAATACTTCAGCCTTTCAAATTTTGATTTGGTCATAAAAAAGAAGAAATAACTAAATTTGTCTCTGAGTTTTCTAAAACTGCAATGTTATTATAAAATATATTTATCTTGATAATCAAATGGTAAACATTATATTTATAATTTATTTCACAAGAATTACAAACAAAATATATATGCAAGTAGTAAATGGAAGGAATACAGTTGTTTACGAAATCAATTATGTAATCACATAAACTAAAGAGATTTTTACTTTACTATTATTGGGACAAATATTAAGTCTTATATTGAAACACTATAACAAATATGATTGATCAAGAAAATCTTAGAGGGCTAGGTGTGGAGGTTCATGCCTAAAATCTCAGCACTTTGGGAGGTTGAGGTGGGAGGAACACTTGAGGTCAGCAGTTTGAAACTAGCCTGGGCAACATGATGAGACCACTCTCTACAAAAAATGAAAAAAATCAGTGGGTTTGGTGGCATGTGCCTGTAATCCCAGCTACTCGGGAGGCAAAATGGGATGATCACTTGAGCCTAGGAGGTCAAGGTTGTAGTGAGCTGTGTTCATGCCACTGCATTCCAGCCTGGGCAACAGAGCGAGACTCTGCCTCAGAAAAAAAAGAAAAAAAAAAAAAGAAGGAAAATCTTAGAATGAAGGCCCACTGAAGCTGTAAACTTGCTTCTTGCTCTAATATTTTCTTAATTCAAAAATGTCTACTGGAGAAATATTTCCTGGTGATATATTTTTAATTCTTTTTACATTCTACTTATTCCACTTAATCACCATGCCAGCATCAGGCTTGTTATTAATTTTCCAATTAAGAGTCTGTCCTATCAGATACTACTAATTCAAAGTTTCCAGAAATCCAATTCTTCCCTACGACAAAGGCAATTAATTTCCTTATATTCTCAAATTCTTGACTGAAATAAAGTATTATAAGAAGTGTTTTGAAAAAAGTTACAATATTTACTTACCCACTAGCATCTCAAAAAGGAAAACACCTACAGACCACCAATCACATTCTCGCCCATAGTAACCATCACCCCCTTGTGATTTCAGAACCTCAGGTGATATATAATCAGGTGTTCCAACTGCTGTATCACAATGTACCATGCCTGTCTGCATAAACAGGAGAGATAAAGAAAAAACAGATCAGTGTAAAAACACACACTTATAAATGCAATGAATCCATTTATTACTAGATATACAGTGATTACATATTGCTACCAACAGAACTTCTCTGCTGACATGACTTTGGGATACAGAGAATAAATACATTGGAAAATGCATTAAAATGCCTCAATTATGGGAGATAGGAATAAACTGTGAACTCTAAAATACAGGAGGCTTCCTCAACAAAAGAAAAAGGTGGTAAAATGGAGATTCTAGGCAAATCAACAACTTTTCTTTTTCTTATTTTTTACACTATAAAGTAGTTGTAAAGTTAGTACAAAATGTGGTCTTAAGGACGCTGACCTAGAAAAAAGAATCATTAGAGAAAGGAAGCTTTCATATTTCCAGAATAAACTGAAACAAGATAACAAAGGGCTCCAGTTTGGAGGCTGAATAAAGAATTGGCTCTTATATTACCAAGAAAAAAAAACAAAGAAATAGATCAAATGTTTAAATTAGAAGATCTTAGAAGTGTGAAAGCTATACTTCCAGGCTATATATTTAGAAATATGTAGCTGTGGCATCAATATATTTGGCAAGATGATTTTTAAAAACCACTTATCTGTGTTTAGTTTCAATAGGTAATAAAATAATCCCTCCCTGATGTCTTTTTGACAAGTACAATAACCATTATAGGGGTGGGTGTGCCTGCATGCTGCAAAATTAAATGACTAGAGAAGTATAGTGCTAAATGGTGTTTCTTTACCTCTAGCTCTGTCCAACTTGCAATGATTTGAGAGATTAAGTGCCCTTTATTTCCCTGACCTGCCCAGTAAAGAGTGTGTTGCCCACATTCCTCATAAGGAAGCTATACAAACGACCTAATACTGAGTATTATGGCTACCTTGAGAAAAGGAGGTTGAACACATTTTGTAAACCTAATTCATGTAACTTTATATAAAACATGTTATAGAAAAAAATCTTTTCATTCATTCTCAAATTGACAGAACTAACTCAATGGCTTTATTTTCCCACATATATAGCAAATAGAGAATAAAAGCTATTTTAGTTTGAATAGAAATTTAAAAATAAATTTTATGGAAATAATTGAGCAAACCATGGGAGTAACACTGTGTGTGGATTACTACGAAGGACAAATGATGAACAAGACAGTGCCTGACTTCAAAAGGCAGGGTATACAATTAATTTTTATCATGGACTGTCCTATAGTCTAGACTTCTGTTGGGGGGAAAAAATTAACAGAGGCTTATTAGGTTAAACAAAATTTCCTGATTTCACATACATCCACAGAAATCAGGTTTTTAAAAACATATGAGACTTAGCTACTAAAACCAACTCACTGGAAAGACACACACACACAAACACAAACACAAACACAAACACACACATGCAACCAAAGGAAAAATTACTTAGCATTCAAAGGTTCAGAGGAAGGAGAAGAAAGGGCAAGATAAGAAAGAATTGGCATAAAGTTAGGCTGTAAAGGATGGATAAGTTAGGGTTTAAAAGAGACAGGGTGGTATGACAGGTTAGATAGAAAAAAAGAGCATAAAGAAACAGGAACAACCTAGTATAAACATGTTTAAGAAATGCAGTGAAATTCAAATCAACTAAACATAAAGTTCCACACAATGAATATTGGAAGGATAAGCTGCCTATCAGTGTAAATAACCACTTGCAGAATAAATACTTGGGTAGGACTAAAGATTTTTTTTGGTTATAAACTATTATATTCTATATAGTAATAGTAATTATTAATAGTAAACTATATTCACATACTAAACTATGTGAATAACACTCTGCTTTTGGAAAATTAATGTTCTAACTATGATTTTTGGCTAGCATACTGAAGTTTTTAAAACAAACATTTGAAAATGATATTTAAAAATATTTTAAAAGTGTGTTATGTGGAAGCTCTCAAATTATATGAATATGAAATCTACATTTATAACAAGTCTCTAACCCTGTTTAAATGAACTGTGAGAAGGATAAGTAAAAAACTAAAGAGATTGGTTTACCAACAGTGGGTGGGTGGTCAAAGGATGGAAAGAAGGGAGTAATGGGAACAGGGTATGGGAATATGGAGCAAGTGACTCTTCTCTGAGCATACATTTTGTATAGCTCTATCTTCTAAAACCAGAGGAAACTTCGTGTCCAAAAAATAAAATAAAATAAACATTAAAATCAATCAGGATGTGGGGGGAACTCTAAATGGAATACAAAAAAATAAGAAATGAACCTGTTTTATAAATAAATAACCTAACCACATTAGAGAAGGCAGAAAGAAACAAACTAAACTAACTAATTCTGGAAAATAACATCTTAACAGGATACTGTAAGACTAATTAAAAACAAAAGTATACAAAAATAATATATTTTGGTTAGCAAATCTTTTTGTCACAGGGGTAAGGACTGGCAATTCTGAAATAATTTTATGTGTATACTAGGGTTGAATTGGTAAGTAAATACATTGCAGATAATGAGAGCCAAGAGTTTTACTGTTCACGAGAGAAATTACAAAAAAGAAAGGAGAGAGACTAGAATAAACCTAGTGGTGCTGGACTTGAATCAGAGTTAGCAGTATGAGCTCCTAACTTTTAATATGCTATATATACAGACATACACAAAATTAAATATAAACGTGTGTACATGTGATTTATGGTTTAGTACATTTAATATATACAATATATACCCCCTAACTCTGTCACCTGGCAGGGCCTAAAAGTCCAGAAGCAATGAGCACATCTAGCACCCAATTGTTGATTTATAAATACCATTCTTTTTTTTTTTTTTTTGAGACGGAGTCTCACTCTGTTGCCCAGGCTAGAGTGCAGTGGCCGGATCTCAGCTCACTGCAAGCTCTGCCTCCGGGGTTTACGCCATTCTCCTGCCTCAGCCTCCCGAACAGCTGGGACTACAGGCGCCTGCCACCTCGCCCGGCTAGTTTTTTGTATTTTTTAGTAGAGACGGGGTTTCACCATGTTAGCCAGGATGGTCTCGATCTCCTGATCTCGCGATCCACCTGTCACGGCCTCCCAAAGTGCTGGGATTACAGGCTTGAGCCACCGCGCCCGGTCATAAATACCATTTTTTAATAAAAAGAATCAGAGCTTCTTGGAGAAGAAGGTGATTCCAGATGTGAGACAGAGAAAATATAAGACAAGTCTTAAACATTGTATAGAGTCAAAAAATAAGAAAATGCTCCAAAAGGGGGACATGTGGAAAGGACAAAGAGGCCAACCTAAGGAGCTTTCACAAGATGGCAAACTTTGGACTGAGTTTCAAAATATGAATAACAAATTTCCAGGCAGATTTTTAGACAGTATATATGTAGGCCAAGAATCATGATATATCATAGTACAGAAAGAACTACATGTAACTCAAGACTTCTAAGCCATAAAGTACTGTCAAATGATAGAGAATAGGGTACAAAAGCAGGTAGGAGATCATATCAGAAGAAATTTCATGTGACAAGCTAAGGAGTTTGAACTTAATTCAGTAGATGACAGAAATCTACTGAAGGGTATTAAGCTGGAGAGCCGGATAATCAAGTATGCATTTTCAAAAGGCTTCTCAAATTATTTTATTTTAAATGTATCAGATTAAATGCGTATTTTCTAAACATACTTGATATATTATCATGGTCAAAAAAATCATAAATCGAGATAACTTACTGAAAACACAAAACTAGTCAATCGGAAATCTTGGAGTTGGTCTAAAAACAACTGAAATGCTTCCTATAAAGGTGGAAAAAAACCTGTAAATGGAATTTTTAATTAACAGAATCACTGAAAGCTTCTGTTGTGGGAAATTCTTCTCTTTTCAGTAAATTCAGTGTTTTCAGTAAATTCTCTGAATTTATGATTTTTTGTCCATAATACATCAAATACATTTAGCAAATACATATTTAATCTGATACATTTAAAATAATCTGAGAAACCTTTTGAAAATGCATACCTTTTTTTAAAAAAAATTACTTAAAAAAAAAGTTACCAGTTAGTTTTTTAAAAAAATACAGCCTCTATTTAGTCAAATGGTATATGCTAGAATATTAATGGATAAAAATCATATCCTAACTTCAAGTAATTTTTATTTATTTATTTATTTATTTGAGACGGAGTCTCGCTTTGTCACCCAGGCTGGAGTGCAGTGGCACGATCTCGGCTGACTGCAACCTCCGCCTCCTGAGTTCAAGCAATACTCCCGCCTCAGTCTCCTGAGTAGCTGGGACTATAGGCCCGCGCCATCACGCCCAGCTAACTTTTGTGTTTTTAGTAGAGACAGAGTTTCGCCACGTTAGTGAGGCTGGTCTCGAACTCCTGACCTCAGGTGATCCACCCACCTCAGCCTCCCAAAGTGCTGGGATTACAGGCACGAGCCATTGTGCCCAGCCTCTTCAGGTAATTTAAAATACTAACATATAATGTAGTCTTAAAAGGTGGTAAATGTTGCTATAAAATGCATGACAGGCAAAGAGTACATCCAACATAGCAGTAGCTCTCAACTATTACTGAGACACATATACATATACATATCTTACAATGTGACTCTCATTCACATTTAGGTAAGTTTTTTTTCTGAGAGAATAAGGATGATGGCAACTGCATCCAGAAAGCTGTGTAATATACAATTTATCAATGATATAATTTAATGAGATACTATTACTCTTAATTCTGATAGTGACAAATTATTTTAGTCCTTGTAAGTTTATAGTTGTATTTTATTTTTGCTTTTATCCATGGCATAACATTTTATAGGAAGTCAGGATGGCTGAAAAATAATTTGAGCATATATGTCTACATTATAGATAAAGGGCTGGCTAATTTTTCCTGTAAAGGGCCAGACTGTAAATATTTTGGCTTTGTGGGCCACACAGGGTCTCTGTCACATATTTTTCTTCTTTTTTTAAACAAACTTTTAAAAATGTAAAAATTATTTTTGGTGTGTAAGCTATATAAAACTAAGTCACACTCCTTTCTGTAAGTGGATGAGAATAAAACTATGGACATTTCTTTTTTTTTTTTTTTTTTTTGAGACAGGGTCTTGCTCTGTTGCCCAGCCTGGTGGGCAGTGGCCTGGCGCGATCTCGGCTCACTGCAACCTCCGCCCCCTGGGTTCAAGCAATTCTCATGCCTCAGCCACTCAAGGAGCTGGGATTACAGGCATGCACCATCACGCCTGGCTAATTTTTCTATTTTTAGTAGAAATGGGGGTTCACCTTGTTTGCCAGGCTGGTCTCGAACTCCTGGCCTCAAGCAATCTGCCTACCTTGGCCTCCCCCAAAGTGCTAGGATTACAGGCGTGAGCCCCCGCAGCTGGCCAAAAGTATGGACATTTCTAATGGCTTTGGTACAGTAACAATAACCAAACAAAGGCACATGAAGTGTTGAACCTTAAACTTGCAATAACTCTATTCATGTTAAAAACTAATAGAAAATTATAAATTCAATGTACTATAGTTTTTAATAAAAAACTCTTCTGTTCTTAAACATTGTATAATTATCCTTAGTATTGCTTGAGGAATGGAGGTCTGGGGTAAAACAACACTTTTAAAGTTCAGTATTTGTTAAAAAACATCTTTGACTACATCAGAATGAAGGAGTTCTATTCAAACAAAGGAAGGCATAGATGGGTAATACAATGGAAGATGATATCAGCAATATCTATGGAATCACTATCTAGATTATATAAGGAATCCCTGTACATGAACAAGAAACCAATTTAAAAGAGTTAAAAGACATAAACAGGTAATTCACAAATCAGAAATGACTGACAAATATATGAAGAGAGGTTTGTCATCATTAGTTACAAGATTAACATAACAGGTCAGGCACAGTGCCTCACATCTTTAATCCCAGCACTTTGGGAGGCTGAGGCAGGAGGATCACTTGAGCCCAGGGGTTTCAGGCTACAGTGAGCTATGATTACACCACTACACTCCAGCCTGGGCAATAGAGGAGACCCTGTCTACAACAACAACAAAAAAGATTACTGTAATTTTTACAAATCTCATTTTTTTCTTGGCTTAGTTCAGTAAGATGAACGTAATTGTTTAAAGATATTACTATGTATCAATGGAACTGGTAACCCTTAGAGAACTGAATAATAAGCGTTAGCAAGGATATAGGGAGACAAGATCTCTCATGCACTACTAGTAAGAAGTTACAAACATTCACAGCCATTCTGGAGACTGGGCAATTCTTTTTTTATGTACCCTCTGATATAGCAGTTTCACTTCTATGTTTATACTTAGAGAATCCCTTGTCAGCATATACATGGGACATATATAAAGACGTTCAAGACAGTATTGTTGTTAGCAGGGATTTGGAGGTGACCTAGAAATCAAACATCCAAGGAATAATAAGGTAAATTGATTGACAGATATTACGGAATACTAAGCAGGAGAAAGAAGCAATGAACTAACTGACATTTATCAGGGAGAGATATAAGAACAATGCTGAGTAATAACAGTAAACAAAAAGACATCTACATCAAGATACCGTTTACACCAGCTAAGAACATACATGGACACTACACTAATAATCTGCAAAAACATATGGTAAACATATACTAGCTATCTATCAGGGAGAGGAAAGATAGAATGAGACAGAAACTGAATGGAGGAAAATATAAAATAAAAGCAAGATGAGGCCTTTGTGTTGACTACTCATGACAATAAACTATGAACAAAAGAGTATAAACTCAACTCTCTGTACCTAAGTTTAAAAACAGTAAACAGCGCTCACTTTGGCAGCACATATACTAAAATTAGAACGATACAGACAAGATGGCCCCTGCATAAGCATAACATGCAAATTCTTGAAGTAGTCTATATTTTTTAAATTTATTAAAAGTAATAACAATAAATAAAAGTAAAAATAGTAAACAAAATTAGGCCATGTTTTATTTTGCCTTATAAAGAGACAATTTAAATAATTGCTTACATGCTTATACAATTATTCTGTAGGTACCATATTCTATCCTGTTCCCCATATTCCCCTTCTCTACACCTTTCTCTCCTTAACCACCCTTATCCTCCCTAAAAACATGTGATATGATTTATTTCTCTGTACCCCAGCCCCAAAAGTTTTTGGTTTAATGAAAATCGAAATACATTCATGGAAGTACAGCACAAAAACATGTTATATTATGTATAGCAGACATAAGTTTAGCATTCTATTAGGAAATTATTTCATACTTCATTTTCATTAAAGATAATTTGCACTGTTAATCATTTCACACTATATTATACCAAATACCACAAGAGGGAGCTTTGGGCACAATAAAAAAACTCCACCTATTAAACACTGATCAAGGGTTGCAGAACATAACAACAGACTCTATCAAGAAGACCAAAAACATATAGGGATGTTAAGTTCTAGCTGGGTAGATTAAGATAGACAAAAATGGCCCATAAAGTATAGCACAAATTCTGTCTATGTGAGTAAATCATGGACATTATGACATTAAAGAATGATTAGTCAGGTCAGGATTATCAGAAGGAACCTTAAAGCCAAGGTAAAATCTGAGATGAGCTTAGAAGTTGGAATGCTGATGAAGTTAGAATGATCAATAAAAGTGAATGTCATACAGGTGGCATGAATAAGTTAAGAGGTAGACAGAAAATTACCTTAACTCAAAATAAACATTTGACTAGGTAACAACCAAGAAATAAGATAGCTTTATAAGCATACTGGAAAGTTATAAAAAACATACAAAAGATGAAATAGTTTGTTGCCAACATATATTAACATTTATAAGTCGACTCCTAGGTCCAACAGGGTAATACAAAGGAAACAGAATCTGATCCCTCTCCATCAAGAATTACTTACTGCACACTTACAGAGAAAAGGGCAAGATATATACATTTTACAATCAAAATAAATCAATATCATAATTAGCTACAAGGTTAATGCCACTGAACCTATTGATCATAATATGAATTGATCAACAGGCAAAGTATCACAACAGATGATGTTCCCATATTTATTCTGCATGGTTGATGCAGAGGGAGTGAGTAGGAAGTGCTAACATAAATTTCTTTACTTACTTTTACCTCCTCTTTTAAAGAAAAAAATGCAGAAATAACAATGGTGGTGAAAATACCCATTTACCTTAATTTAGATTTTGTGTCCTCCTTCACCTAGATTATACACATGAACCAGTTTTGATTGGTAGCAAATGCTTGTCAACAGTCTATGAGGAAGATAACTAAGTTAGCTAAGTTTTTATTTCTCTTGATAAGTACTCTACAGCTACATAAATGATTACTAAAGGAAACGTTTTAAGTTGGTTAAGGAAATGTTTTAAGTTGGTTATATCTTGTTTGGGTTGCTATACAGTTATGAAAACTAAATTTACCTTTGTTCAGAACTATGAAGACCTGATTTAAAGCATTTCATTTATTTCTGTCCCTCAAAACACTATCGTTTTTAAAAATTTGCTTACTTACTTCATCCATCTTCATACACGTGCCAAAATCTGCTAATTTTAGATGTCCATGTTTATCCAAGAGCATGTTGTCAGGCTTCACATCTCTGTGTATTAAACCCATAGAGTGTATTGCATCCAGAGCAAGAACAACTTCAGCAGTGTAAAATTTGGCCCATTTTTCAGGCACATCATAATTACTCATAAGGTTTACAAGGTCTCCACCAGGCATGTACTCCATTACCATGTACAGATACCTATCATCTTGAAAGGCATAAAAAAGCTGGAAAACAAAAGGAAAAGGAAAAATTTTTAAAAACCCAAACCAAAAACCATAATCAAAACAAAAATTTAAAAAACTATTATTACTATTGAAAAAGGCAAGCTATTTTACAACCAGAACTAAAATTTATGAGATCTTTTATTTTAGACTTGGGCATATGTAATGGAAAAACAGTATCAGACAAAATTTTTATATGGGTACCTTATAAATGAATATTTCCCCTCATGGAGAACACAATACAAGAGAAACTATTTAAATAGAAACATTTTTAAAAAGAAACAAACAGGAACAAGGAACATTAAAGGCTGAAAGAATGACAGAAGAATTCACTACAGTTTAAAGAAAACAGCTTTCTGAACAAACTACTGCACATAACTCACACAGAAAAGAGCTGAGGAGATGGGAGCAATTTAAAAAAATCTAGAGATACTAGATTCAACGGATACAAGAAGAGGGAATAAGCCCCATATCAATGGAAAGAATGAGTCACTGGTAGCCATATTTGGAAAACCCGTAACTCTTCTCTCCCCTTCCCCATCACCTTGTTCATGATAAACAAGAGACACTCAGTGCACTGAGACTACAGCAGTAGCAGTGGGACCACAGAAAGAAGATACCAGTCCAGGTTGCTACTGGCCCCCCAAAAGACAGAGAAACCACAATGTCTGAAGAAAACCTATCTGTACATTCTACCAAACAGTATGTCACACCTCTCCCAGAAACAAGCAATGCAAACACAAGTCGTCCACAGACAAACAGGGAAAAGATAAAACTAAGAATCAATATTTGAGAAAAATCAACATCATGAAATAGAGAAACAGCAATTTGAGAAACAAAAATAATACTCAAGGAAATGTTTAATAAGACAAACTGAAGACAGCTTTAAAAATGTAAAATCGACCAGGTGCAGTAGCTCGTATCTGGAATCCCAGCACTTTGAGAGGCCGGGGCAAATGGATCACCTGAGGTCAGGAGTTCGAGATCAGCCTGGCCAACATGGTGAAACCCCGTCTCTACTAAAAACTAAAAAAATTAGCCGGGCGTGGTGGCAGGCGCCTATAATCCCGGCAACTTGGGAGGCTGAGGCTGGAGAATTGCTTGAACCCGGGAGGTGGAGGCTGCAGTGAGCCGAGATTACACCATTGCACTCTGACCTGGGCAACAAGAACAAAACTCCATATCAAAAGAAAACAAAAAATATGTAAAATCAATACCCTCAAAAGGGTAACAGATGTCACATCAATTAAATATTAGGCTGATATGAGGACCAAAAAAAACCCTGAAGTCTAAGAATTCACTATATGACTGATGATAGACGAACAGATTACAGTTAGAAAATTGAAAAAATGAATGGTCTCCGAACACACCGAAGGAGTAAGAGATGAAACACCGAGCAATGTCAGAAAAGCACCATCATCTACCTAAAAGCAGTTCTAGAGAGTATACAGACTAGAACAACAAAGGAATAGTAAACAAAAATTTCTAGAAATGAGTAAAGTTAAAAATCTAAGATCAAGAAAACCTCTAAATGAAACTGAGACTTTATACAGCTAGGGCTAAATTTTCAAAAATTCAAGAGAAAAGTACTGTTTCCCAAAAATGCCATATATACAAAAACATAAAATCATATTGGCAACAAACCTCTCAGCCAACATACTGAATACAAAAGGCAACACAGCTATATCTTCAGAGTTTTGAGGGAAAATACTTTTGATTCTAGAATATGGCAGACAAGAAAACAAAGGAGATGACAAAATGAAATTTTATAATTGACAGACCATTTTCAAAAAAATTATTCAAGAATATAGTTTGACAAAATGAATAATAGCTGGGCACAGCAGTGGCTAATGCCCATAATCCCAGCACTTTGGGAGACCAAGGCGGGCAGATCACCTGAGGTCAGGAGTTCGAGATCAGCCTGGCCAACATGGCAAAACCCCCATCTCTACTAAAATTACAAAAATGAGCCAGGCATGGTGGTGCAAGCCGTCATCCCAGCTAATCGGGAGGCTGAGGTGGGAGAACAGCTGGAACCCCGGAGGCAGAGGTTGCAGTGAGCCGAGATTGTGCCACCGCACTCCAGCCTGGGCAACAGAGTGAGACTCTGATTGGGGGAGGGGGGAAGAATAAATCCAAGAGGATTATGTGAGACGTAATTTTAAAATGGAAGGCATCAGGATGAAGAGAAGGAAGAAATAGGAAAGCATGAGAAGGCCGGTTACCAAATTAAGAAAGTGTGTGTGTGTGTGTGTGTGTGTGTGTGTGTGTGTGTGTATCGGTGTATAATGTGTTTAAATGATTAAAGGAAATATGAAAATAAATGAAGAGACCACCTCATGTACATGGATTGGAAGAATCAATATTATCAAAATGGCAACTTTCCCCAAATTGATCATTATATTCAATGCAATCTCCACCTCAATCCCAGTGGGTCTTTTCCAAAAACCAACAAGCAGGTCCTAAAATTTATTTGGAAATGCAAATGACTCAGAAAAGCCAAAACAAGCTGGAACTAGAACAAAGCAGGAGGACTTACATTTCCCAATTTCAAAACTTACTACAAAATTACAATAATCAAGACAATACTAGCCAGGCACAGTGGCTCACGCCAGTAATCCCAACACTTGAGGAGGCCTAAGAGGGAGGATGACTTGAGGCCAGGAATTCGAGACCAGCCTGGGCATCAAAGTAAGACTATGTCTCTACACAAATTTTAAAAATTAGCCAGGAATGGTGGTACACCTGTAGTTCCAGCTACGTGGGAGGCTGAGGTGGGAGGATCGCTTGAGCCCAGGATTTTGAGGTTTACAGTGAGTTACAACTGTACCACTGTAATCCAGTCTGTGCAACAAAGTGAGATATGAGTACTGGCATATGAAAGGATATATAGATCAATTGAACACAATTATACAGAACTGAGAATCCAGAAATAAATCCTTGTATTTATGATCAATAAATTTTTTGACAAAAGTGCCAGGGCAATTTAATGAGGGAAAAAATAATTTAAAAAAAAAAAAAGTTTGAACAACTGGATAGCTACAGTCAAAAAGATAAATATTTTTAGACCCTTACTTCACGCCATAGTCAAAAATCAACTCAAAATGAATTACAGGCCTAAATTTAAGAGTTAAAACTACAAAAATCTTTAAAAAACACAGGAGAATATCTTCATGAACCTAGATTAGGCAAAGGTTTCTTAGATACAACACCAAAAAATGCAACTGACAAAATAAAAAACTGATACATAGTATTTCATCAAAATAAAAACTTTCTGGCTTGAAAGATACTATTAATAAAATGAGAAGATGAACCACAGGTTGGGAGGAAATATTTACAAGTGATATATATAGCATTGGTCCTTAGGGATATGCACACTAAAACCACAATGACAAGCCACTTAACACCCATCAGAATGGTTATACTAAAAAAGACAGAAAAATAGTTAAGAGTTGATGAGAATGCAAAATGGCACAACCACTTTGGAAGCCAGTTTGATAATTTCTCACAAAGTTAAACATAAATGTAGCAAACAATCGAGGATTGCACGCCTATGCATCTACCTAAAAGAAATGAAATATATCCACCAAAGACTAATAGCAAATATTCATATCTGCATTATTCACTATTCACAATGGCCAAAAAGTGCAAGCAATTCAAATGTTCATTAACCGGTAAATGAACAAACAACATGGAGTACATCTCTATACCATTTCCACCCCAACTGAGTGTTCTGCAATGCAATTCTGACATGAACCATCAAGTCTTGGCATGAGATGCCACAAGTGAAGAGCTCAGTCTTCCACAAAATTTCCCTCACTTCAGAAATCAGCTGCACTTTGGGGATCCACAGGTTCTCTACATTTTGGACTTACTGGCTGCAAATTCAGGGGTTCCCACAACCTTCTTAGGCTTAACAATTTACTAGGATGACTCACAGAACTCAGCATAATGCTATATTTATGATTACAGTTTTATTACAAAGGATACACACAGAACAAAGTCTAGAAGAGATTATGGAGCTTCTGCACCCTTTCTGTGTGGAATAAAAATGCATCACTCTCCTTGCACCAGAACATCCATGTGTTCACCAGTCAGGAAGCTCCACTGAGTGTCAGTATCCAGAGTTTTTATGAGGGCCCCATTACACAGACATGATTAATTAAATCACTGGCTGAATGATTAAACTCAATCTCTAATCCCCCCGCCCCCCACTCCGGACATCTCCTTTTTCCTCTCCCGGGAGGTCTGGCAGCTAAAAGCCTTAGTCTTCTAATTATGTGTTTGGTCTTTTGTAGTGGTCAGCCCTCATCCTGAAGCTATCAGGAGGCCATCTGAATCACCTCATTGGCGTAACAGAGACACTCCTATCACTCAGGAAATTCCAGGGCTTTTGAAGCTCTGTGCCAGAAATGGCGACAAAGACTAGCTATATTATTTATTATACCACGCCATACAATGGAATACTATTAAGCACCAAAAAGGAATGAATTATAACAAATGTTACAACATGGATGAACCTTAAAAACAGTATGCTAAGGGAAAAGTATCAGATGCAAAAGACAACATATTGTATGATTCCATTTATAAGACCTGTCTAGAAAAAGCAAATCTACAGGGACAGAAAGCATATTAATGGTTGCCTGGGGCTTAGAGGGTGATAGGAAATGTGAGTGAAGGGTACAAGTAACCACTTTGGGATGGTGGAAATGCTCTAAAATCAGATGGCAGTGGTGGTTCCACAATGCTATAAATTTCCTAAAACTCACTAAAGCATACACTTCACATAGGTGAATTTTATGCTATGCAAATTATACTTCCATAAAGTTCTATTATAAAGTTGTCTTACAAAGGTATAAAAAGTTGCATACCTCAATAAAGTTGTATAGTTATTATACCTCAATAAAATTAATTTTGGAAACTTACATGTGCATGTTAAAATGGTAAACACAGCCACTAGAACAGAAAAGAGACAGTGTATATATTTTCCATCAGAGTAAAGG